GTCGTGTGTGTGGCGTGGACGTAGTGGCGGGGGGGGGGGGGTCGTGCATGAAGTTGTTTTAACTCTAATTTTTCATTCTTCTTCCTCTTCCTTTTTTTTTTGTGTGTGTTATTGCTTGTTTGGCAGTGTTCGGTGCCTCATGGAATACAAGTCTGCATTTGAGCTGCGGCAGCAGGCTCTGGGGTTTTCAAGTCCTTTGACCTCAAAGATAAGGGCGGGAAAAAAGAACTCCTCAGGCCTCCTCTCAAGCTCATCGTTTGTTGTTGACGCGAGCAACAATGCGGCAGTGGCGGACGCTGAACAGGAGGATCCCACCGCACTTGTCCGGGAGTTGCCGGCGCTGGACAAGCTCAATGCTCTCAGCGCATCCATGAAAAATGAGGAGGAGGTGCAGAACTATGTGGAGGCGAGAAATCTTTCTCTGGAGGACACCGCAAGGTACATCATGGCCCATGGGAGTACGGGTCAGAAGATGTCCTTGTTTCAGCGTCTGAAGGAAACCCTCGCCGGTGTAGACATGTCCAGCATCTCACAGCTATTGATGATTGTGGTGGACAGTATGTGGGTACAGGAACCGGAATTGCAGTGCTTTGCACCGGGCGCCTTGCTGGAGGTACTACCTCTGCTGAACAATGGTGTGGCACGTGAGCTATTTCTGGTGACAAGCACAATGCTAAGCGTCAAAACGGCGGAAGTTCGAATAGCATGGAATAAACTGTTTCCAGCCTTCATCGATTATCTGAACATTAAACAACTTGACAACGACGTGGTGCCGCTTGCACTTAAAAAGACCGAGTATGCTGAGCCACAGGATCAGCGCGAGCTTAGTTGTGAACTCATTGGAGGCGTTTGCCGCCACCTTCCGCGCGACATTGTAGAACAAAAGCTGATGCACAAGGTTTTGGCACTGTGCCAGGACACCAACGTGGGAGTGAGGCGAAGCATGTGTCAACAGTTAGGCATCGTGGCACGCGCCCTGGGTGCTGAGATGGCCAAGCAAAAGGTGGCGCAAGAGCTTTTTGAGCTTCTCAACGATGAGGACCAGACCGTCTCTCGGGCAGCATTTTCTTGTTTAGTTGACTTGGTGGAGTTTTTTGGGCCCGCGTACCGCCGCGAGCACCTCTACCCCATCATCAAGAGCTTTATCTCGCATCCCCCGGAGGAGGTTGTCAGCCTCATTGTTGGCGAGTTTGGCCGATTTCTTTGGGAGATAAAGGCGGATATTCAGACAAGCGAGGACGTCACTTTGTTTGCCGGGTTTTACCAGAACGCCGCCTTGAAGGGTGATGATTCGACTCGGTATCGCTGTGCGTACAACCTGCCCTCGGTCACTGCGTCGCTGTCTATTTCCGTGTTTCCTGTTTACCTGGCTCCATGTTGTGAGGCTCTCGCCACCGACCAGAGTGAGTCCGTGCGACGGAGCATAGCCGCCGGTTTGCATGAATTAGTTCCTCTTCTTGGTGACAAGGCAGCCCTGTATCTTCGAAAGCCGTTTTTGAGGCTTTTGAGTGATCCGAAAAAGAGTGTTCTTAATGCCCTCTCAGCCCACTCACAGATTTTGTTGGAGTGCTTTGTGCATCAGCTTAATCCGGCTGACCGCAATGAGTTTTTTTCCAGTACCGAAGATATACTACTACAGCTTGTTGCACGCGCCGAGCGGGACTGGCGTATTATGGACCATGTGCTGAAAATGCTCTCCGTGTTCCACGGTGAATTTCAGGAGACGACGTTGTATGAAAAAATGTTACCCCTAGTTCTAAAATATGGGAGAAATGGGGCATTTTGCCTGAAGGATAGAAGTGCAGAGGTATGTATTAAGATTGTGGCGAGCCTTTCCAACGTCAATAGCAAAGTTCAGTTTTTTAGTAAGTTAAACAACGAATACGCCCATAGCTCTTCATGCATTCTACGCAAAGATTATTTGCGTTTTGTGCGTGCCGCATGCTCTTTGTTCTCGCGCCGCTTTATTCGTGAGAGGATGCTTGAGTGCTGCTTTGAGCTCCAGCATGATCAAATGGATATGGTACGGCTGGAACTTGCACGTTTACTGCCTTCCTTGCGTAAGGTGCTAGAGGTCTTGCCTAGCGGAAGTGTGCTTGACGAGTACCAAGACATGGTGTATCGGCTACAGATGGATGAAAGTGCTGACGTGCGAGCGGTGACACATACGGGATTAGAAATAATGGAGCTTCGTGACCGAGAACTAAAGCGCGGCGGGGGAAAAATTAAATTTGAGGAGGAAAATAGGGAGGATAGACGACGCGAGCAGGTGGAGGGGCAACTGCTCGATGTGGCGAAGGAGTACGATAAGGCAGAACGCCGCTCCAAGCTGCGTGACTTGCTAAAAACAGAGCGCGAGAAGGAACAGGCGGAGGCGGTGCGCAACTGCGGCGTGGGACGGCGGCCTGTAAAAAATACAGCGCTCAATACAGCGCCCACCCACCCCGGGCGCCCAATGCCCAAGATGCAGCTACCAAGCCTTGGAGGTGCCGCATACCATAGGAGAGCGCAGCGATAAAAATAAGTACGAAGATCAATACACGCATATATATATATATATATATACACAACAAAGCAAGGAGGAAATAAAGCAAACTGGAGAGAACTAGAAAAAACGAGGGGAAGAAAAAAAAGAAGAAAAAATGTTGCACAGAATTAAAAAATAAGTGTTGTTTTAACAGGGTCAAGCATATATATATGTAATATGTATAAATTCATATATATATTACATATATATGAATTTTGTAAGGATGCTTAGAAGGGAGTGTTGTTGGGTGGGGAATGGGGAAACTGCCTTTGTGAGGGCTTAGTGATTCAGATAGAATGGCGGTGGCGTTCTTCCATATTTCTATCTTTCCACTTTTCCATGTTCTTCTTTTGTTTTTTTTCTTTTCAACGTTGCAGTTGGCATTTTATGGCCTATGCACGTGCGTGCTTATTGTTGATAAGAGAAGTGGAAGATCACGGGAGATGCATACGCTTTTTTGATGTTTTTCGTTGGGGGTGGCACAGGGGTTGTTTCATTAAGGCAATAGGTTACAGTGTGTGTCTGTGTGTTCTGTTGTTGGTTGTTTTTTTTCTTTTTTGTTTATCCACGGGCACTGCAAAGCAGAGTGCCGGTGACTCTGTACGTGCTTCGATGAAGCTTAGTGCATGTGGTGTATTCATTCTCCTTGTTGATTGTGCGAACGCAGGTTTCTGTGTATGTGTATGCGTTGATGTGTCTGTATTTGTGGTTTTGCGTCCTGAGGTGTTATATTGTCAATAGTGTGCGGTGCTGCTTTCTCTTGATTTTCATAAATTCACTCTTCTTACCTCTCATGTACGATTTGTCTTGTCTCATATTTTTGTTTTTGCTTTTTTGTTTTGCGATTTCCTCAAGTGGCGTTGTTGTTGTCATTGTGGGCTGCTCTTTTCGTGCACTTGCATGACGCCGCGAACTGATGTCTGACACGGCTGAGAGCTCCTGGTGCGACTCCGGCAGCGACTGGAGTGCGACAAGCACTGCTTTCGACTTGCACGGCCTAATTAACGCGGAATTCCTCCGATTTATAGCCACAAGCCGCGGTCGCCGCAAACGGCCCACGCAACGACTTGATGAGGCTTCTTCAAAGCATTGCAAGAGGCCTGGGCTTCGTCAGCGACTGGAGGAGTTGCTTCAAATGGAGGCCAGGGGGACGGGAGTACCGACTGCCCTCCTGGATGGTCTTGTGTCGGCAATTCGACAGCAAACTGATCACGTGCACGCAGCGGCCCTCGTTGTGCATCATCTCTCTGACCCCGAGAATAGTGCTCTCCGCCAAGCCGTATTGGATGGCAGCCTCCCTCCCACAGTGCTCGCGTCAATGCGGGAGACTGAACTTGTGAACCCCAACCTGAGAGGGAAATGGGAGAAGCAGCGATTAACGGCGTTGCAACAAAAGACAGTTCTGTTTGTCGAGCAGCTCACCTCAGTGGTGACGTCCATCTACACGTGTCCCGCCTGCGGTGGCCAAGAGTGCATTCTGCGACAGCGCCAAGCAGACAAGCAGAAGTGGGCTGGTGACGATGCGACGCCCAATCTCTTGACCTGCTGTGCCTGTTCTCATGCCTTTTGGCGGTAGGTGTAAACAACCGGCGGTGGTAATTGAAGCTGCAATGTTACATTTATCATAATTTACTTCCCCAACATAAGTGGGGCAAAACAGCAATGAAAAAAAAAAAAGGAGGATCTGGAGGAAGGAACTTGTATACAATGTGTTTGTTGTCTGGGCGTATATATATATAGAGAGAGAGAGAAAAAAAAAAAGCAAGGGATAGGTGAGTGTGCTTTCTTGTGGCTGTATATTTGGATCGAGAGGGGTTAAGTTTTTTTCTGGGCGTATTGCTGCTGTAGATGAGAAACAAGTGTTGGTTTGGTATGTTTGTGTTGGTATTATGTTTGTTTGTCTTCTTCCTTTTGTTCTTATCTCCTGTTTTTTTTCTTTTCCTTTTAATTTGCGTAATTGTGCATGGCTGTGCTTCTTGTTGCCTCAGTGGGGTCCCACGGCGCCGCGGGCTGAGGTCCGTGGAAACCATGTCCGAGGAGCACACAGTCGAAATGGTAGGGGTCAAGCGGCCACGTCCTCCTCCAATCACCTCCGGTATTGCGCCAAAAGAGGTCTCCTTGGAGAACACCGCGCGTGTTAGTCCCAAAACCCCGCTGCCGTTGGCGCGGAAATCAGCCATGGGTTCGCCCATCGGCTCTGTCGGCCACAGCACACAGAACACCACCCCTGGCACACCAACTGGGCAGCCGCTCATTAGGGGAGTTCAGGGCTGCAGCCGCACCGCCAAGTGGAGCTCCCTGATTGGCGGTGCCCTCATGCAGGGACGGGCAAAGGATGAGGAGTCAATAATCAATGCAGTGGCGTTGCGAATTGCAGCTGCAATTCCCGGGGATCGTTCCGCGGCAGCAGACGGCTTCCGCGTGCTGTTGGTAAACTTACGGGATGCAAAGAATATCAAACTGCGGGAGGACATTATTGAGGGGCGACTGCCTGTGGAGGTGCTGGTGCGCATGTCAGAGCGAGATTTACTAAACCCTGAGGCGAAGAGGAACCAAGAGGCAGAGTTTTTGGAGCGAAGCAAAGACACCGACCTAACTGAAATACGGCGGGCTATAACCACTAAATCGACGCTTTTTCCGTGTCCTTCATGTAAGGCGAGGGATTGTTCATGGACACAGAAGCAAACACGCTCCGCAGATGAACCCATGACCGTATTCTGTGTCTGCAATGTTTGCGAACATAAGTGGAGGCGATATTGAGGGAAAGCTTTAGCTGCCTCCCAATTTTTCCTTTTGCCTTTACTTCTGCTTCTTGTTGCGGTTTGGTTTTCGCATCAGAGGGAAACATATATGTGAGTATGCGCGTGAGTTGTTTCTGCGCCCTCCGGCCTCATTGGTCGTTCTTCACTCCTTGTGTGCGCACATGGATACATGTTGTTGTTGTTCGTTTTTTTTTTCCGCCTCTTTTTGTGATTATTTTGTTTCCGTAGAATTCGTCTGAGGGATGGAGACTGCCGAAACGGTTGAGGAGCTAAAGCTAAACTTGGCCCAAGCTCAGGAAGAGGTTGGGCGAGGGCAGGCGGGTAATGAGAATATGCAACGCAACCTTGAGGTTGACCCGCACTTTGTCGCTGCTGGTTTACCGAAAGACATTTTGGCACCATATTTTGGAAACGCAGGGGCAGCGGATCGTCTTATTGGTGAGCTGCAGCGGCGACTTTGGGATGTGCTTCAGCGCAACTCATTCCTTGAGCAGGAGTCGCATGCCGGGCACAGCGCACTGATCCAGAACTACGAAGGGTACATCAACTGCTTGGAGGAGGAACTGCGCCGCTGTCAAGAGCTGCTCCGCCAACACACAGGCGGTGCCCCAGTGCCAAAGGGCCAGAGCTGAGGGCCATGTGTTTGAGCGTTGCGTGAGTGTATATATATTTAATATGTAGTTTATGTGTACACTCCTGCTATCGAAACTTGTATTGTGGAAAGATACCGTTAAACTATTACCTTCTCTTCTTCTTTTTTTTTTTACTACGGGCACACCCCAGCAGGCGTGCGTTCATTTGTTGTGTCATTCACTTGTCGTACGCACGTGGTTTGCTCACGTGTCTCGGTTGCTCATATATATATATATATGTATATGCTCGTTTTGTTGTATGGATAACACTTTATTTTTTTATTTATTCACGTGTTTTTTATTTCTTATGCTTTTTGTTGTTGTTGCTCCGGTCCATGGCTCGGCTTCTGTGGAACATTTTTAAAAGCTCACGCTGTCCATGGACGACAGAATGGCACTGCAGGTGAGTCCGGTGGCTTCTCTCTCGGAAGCTTCTTCGGCAAGCTCCCTGCAGACGAGTGGGGTTCCGTACCAAGAAAAGAGGGAGTTCTGCACGTGGCGCAAGCACGTACGTGATTTGTATCAGCACCTCGTTCACATTGATCTTGTGTGGGAAAGTCCTTCTGCTCGACTGATGCCGTACATGACCGCGAAAATGGACTTGGCCACGCAGACCGTGTTGTGTTGCTCCCGAACGGGTGGCTTAGAGCAGCCGTACATTCAGCTGTTGTCTGTCACCACACCAAACACGGCTGAACTGCTTGATCGCACGTATGAGACTTATAATGACGCAACGGGCGAGGTTGGAGGCTACGGGATGGCCCCCGGCCAAGTGGGCATACAAGTTGAGCGGCGCATGTTACACGATGGTGATCCATTGGTGGCACGATACATGCACGCCAACCCGCTCATCATTGCGTCCGGTTCTAGTGACGGCAATGCGTACATCTTTGACTGGTCGCGTATTTCGCTAAACAAGTTTCCCAATGACCCGCCCCGACCCCGCGCCCCGCTACCACCCAATGAACTTAGTGCAAATCCCACCGACGAGGAACGCACAACGTACCACAAGCGAATGCGGACTTTGAATGCGGTGGTGGCGGAACAGGATAGGTGGGACAAGCGGAGAGGGGAAGGCCAACATCTACTTAAACTTTTGGGTGGAAATGGTCCATGTGAGACGCTTGACTGGAGCGTTACCTCCGATGGGACACTACTGTCAGGTTCCACCGGACTCGTGTGCTACTGGCACGTGGCAAACATGTCGAAGGATGATGCTCGCACGCTCGCGCCGTCGCATACGTATAGTCTAGAGGATAGTGAGACTCGGGTTAGTGAGGTTGCCTTTTCTTGGAAGGAGCCCCACGTATTCGCGGTGTCATGTGACTCTGGTCCCGTTTTTTATGGTGATGTGAGGACACCGGATCTACTGGAGCTGTTTTCACTGCCATGTGGAGTTACATCGCTTTCTGTGTCGCCACTCGATGGTACTTCCTTGTTGCTTGGTGCAGAGAATGGTGAGGTCCTTTACTACGACCTTCGCAAAAGCGCCGATGCGGTGACCATTGGCCGCATGCATGATGGGCCCGTGTCTGTGGTTCAGTGGTGCCCGCACTCGCGCCATCTCTTCAGCAGCGGCGGCGGTGATGGGAAGTGCTGCATTTATAACGCGACGTCGAATCGGTTGCTGTTCAAACACGCGGGCCACACCGAAAACGTGACAGATCTCTCATGGAATTGGCAGGAAGGATTTGAGGGGCACTTGCTTTCTGTGGACAGCAACAGCTTAATGCTTTGGAGGCCTCGGGACATGTTTTTTGTCTCGTGAAGAAGTAAAGGATTTGCTGCATCTGCATGCATAGACAACGGTGCACACTCCACCCATTTTTTTATTTTATTTATATATGTTCCTTTCTGCCTCTCTCTCTCTGTGTGGTGAGGAGCTGAACAACCACCCTCTCCGCACAACTAAAAAAAAAAATATGCCACTCTTGTCTCTTGGTTTTTCCTGCTGCCCCTCATGGAAGTGTCGTCTGGACTCCGCTCAGGAAGAACGCGGAAGCTTTAAAGCCAACAACTCCAAGTGAAGAAAACGGGGGAGGGCTCAAGACCAGCAGCCGCGAAGGAAAGAACAACGGAAGCAAGGCACGGGGGATTCAATGAGCGGCAGCCAGTTGAACGTCATTTGCACGGCGTGGCCGGAGTTGGCACTGGACAGTCGCATTTTGGAGGCGATCAGGTGTGCTAAGTGGAAGTCGCCCACTCCTGTGCAGAGCGCCTGCATCCCGCTGGCTTTAAAGGGGCGTGACTTGGCAATTCAGTCTCGCACTGGCAGTGGCAAGACGGGTGCCTTCGTTATCCCCATCTTGCAACGCATCATCACTGAGGCGGAGCAGATGCGCAACCGACGCAGTGCAAAAAATCCTGTAGCCCTCATCCTGCTGCCATCCGTCGAACTATGCGGGCAAACCGTTGAGGTGGTTAACGTCCTGGCAAAATATGTGCGACCGAGAATTGTGGTGGACAACTTGACCTCCCGCGGAGCCGTTACAAGGGCCCGCGTAGCCTCCGCCCCTATTCTTGTTACCACCGCCGCATTGTTAGGCAAACACTGCCGCAGTGGAGCGGTAACCGCAGAAGACCTGGCCTCGCTTCGCTGCGTTGTCATCGACGAGGTGGATTTGGTCATGTCGATTGCCGAGGGTTCACTGCGCGCCGTGCAGTCCGTTTTACCGCCCTCGGTGCAGACGATTCTTGCATCCGCGACCTTGACAGATGGGGTGGTGAACATTAAAAGCCAGCTGCTCCACAGCCCTGTTACTGTCACGCTGAACACAGGAGACGAAGACGAGACGACCCCATCCGAAGGCGAAAAGATTGTTGTAGAGTCTCGTACCGTAACACGAGGAATGAATGCCGAGGAGAGGCTACAGCACTACTACCTTGTGGCCACTGATGAGTGCCACCAGCACACACTGTTATACGCGCTGTACCGTCTTGGTCACATTAAAGGCAAGACCCTCATCTTTGTGAACGAGGAGGAGACGACGTACAAAGTTCAAAGTTTTTTGGCTCAGTTGGGGGTTGAGGCGCTTGTCTACGATTCTAACCTGCCGCTCAATGTCCGTGTGGACACGCTTCATCGCTTTCAGGTTGGGTCTGTCGGAACGCTGGTTTGCACCGACGGGACCTTGGAAAGTGTCGACGTCCTGCAGGACACTGTGCTGGGAACAACGGGGGAGCCCACGCTGACGCCCAGTAGGAAAGGGAAGAACGCGAATGACAAAAATGTGGGTGCGTTGCAACGGGGAATTGACTTCTCAGACGTACGCAACGTCATCCTCTTCGACGGCATAGCGCATCCAACGACTTCGGCCTTCTCTCGGTACACCCACCGCGTTGGGCGCGCCGGTAGGGCCGGTAAGAGCGGGATGGCAATCACACTGTTTTCGCGCCAGCAGGCTCAGAAGGTGACCCGGCAGCTGCGCGAGTACTTGCGGGCCACACATGATGCGTTTGAGCCTTTTAAGCAACTTCACCGGCAGGAGGCGGCAAAGCTTCAGTACCGAGTAGACAATGTGCTCTTCACGATTACGAGATCGTTTACCCGCCGTCAACGCATTTCCGCCGTGGCCGCCGAACTCACGCGCAGTGCCTACCTTAAAAGTCACATAACTCAGAAGGATGACACTGTGCTTCAGCGCATTTTGTCCCGCTCCAAGAAGACGACCAGGTGTGACCCAGCTTTACTGGACGTCCCACATTACATGCACATTGAGGGAGCGGACTCCGCAGAGAATTACCGCAAACGTGTCCGTGCACGTACTTCATCGAGATCGTCATCCGCTCCTCAGCAAGCAAGAACAAAATCACGGGATCCGCTCAGCCGCGTCGCCAGCGCCGTGAAGATGGGGGTCGCAAAGAAGCGAAGGCTGTAACATTCCCCATCGTAACGTAAATATCATTACTGACCACTTTCACACCTGCTCCTCATTTCAGACGCGTCAGCGCATGGGTGCGTTTCTCTGTGTGTCCGTGCGTCGGCGAGGGGCCCGTTGAGGCCCAGCTCTTCATGCAACAAATTACGCTATTAATGAACGTTTATTTTTCTACTACGGCCCGTGTGGTTTTTTCCTCCTTGCTTTCTCACCCTCTTCGTTGCTTTTTGTGGGGCAACGCCTTGTTAATTCTTCTTCACTCTCACCTAATTTTATCAAAAAAAAATGTCCTTTTTTGCTTTCTCTCTCCTTCCCTCTCTTTTTTTTCTCTCTCTCTCTTGCCTGCTTTCTTCTAGTTTCATTCTGGGATTTGTGAGGACGCTGCATGTGGAACAAAAACTGGGTTGTTATCGAGAATGGCTGCGAGCTGTGTATCGGACCTGGCGCGGCATGTGACGTCGTTGTGCCTTTGCCGAAACCGCATATCATCGATTTAATTACCGGCACTTTACGTGACCCCGTCTTTGCCTGCTTGTCTTGCACTGAGGAGGGGGAGTTGCTGCTCAACATCATTCCCCGCCTACTGTACGTGTACGTCGGCGGCATTCAAGTTGTGCGACACCGTCAACAGATACGGATTTTTCCCGGCGCTTACCTCTCTTTTTGCAAACTGACCCCCCAAACGACTTTCCGTTTCTTCACACCTGCCACCCTTCCAGTGGAGAGGCCGGTGCCGGGGATAACCTCAACTCCGCCGACTCCTGGGTCCCCTGTGAAAGGTCGCATTGCCTCGGCATTATTGTTGCCTTCTCGGTCGTTGGGTGCTAAAGTTGAAAAGGTGAAGTCTCCTCGATCAAAACGCCCGGTGCATATCACAGCGCCGTCTGATAAAGGCGATGCGCGGCCAGTGTTGACGTCGTATGACTCGGAACCACCACGGGGCGCCGGGAAAACTCCTGACTGGTTCTCAACCGATTCTGCAGGATCAGCTCTCACACATGCCGCACCGCCATATTTGAGCAAGACGGATCCCCCGCTGCCACCATCCCCGCATGTCATCGTGCCTTTTGTGGTGGAGGTGAGGGAGGAGCGCGTCACACTGCACACTGTTATGGGGCAAAGTACTCTTACTGGGTCAGACCTTGACCAATCGTCGGAGTCCACACACAGAGAAACGACAGTCAAGTGTAGGCCCAAAGCGATTGATCCTTATGTGACATGCCACGGTTACGATATGTTGAAATGCGTTCGCTACATGCGCTTTGAGACACCGGTGCGTTCCGCGGCGTCAAGCGTGTTGGAATGCATTGATGGTGCCTACGACTCACAAGAGTGCACATTCATGCAATTTCCGCAACGTACCAAAAAAATGTTACTTGAACACTTTTTGCTACTGGCAGAGCATGCAATTGTTTTCATGCTAATGTCACCGTTAACGATTCGGTGTAAGTCGCCCATTCTCTGCTGCGGTGATATTCACGGTAGCTTTGCTGATCTAAAGTTTATTGCCGACAATGTGGTGCCATTTCGTCACTGGTCCCTCATGACAACGCCAGTGCTTTTTCTGGGCGACTACGTGGATCGTGGCTTGCATGACGTGGAGGTCGTCTTGTATTTGCTTGCCTGGCAAGCGCTTTGCCCAGAGACTGTCATCATTTTGCGTGGTAACCACGAGGATGAAAATGTGAATGGGGACATTGAAACATTTGGTGATTCCTCCTTCCGCAAAAAGTGTTGTAACTTTTTTGGCAACGACGATGGCGAGATGTTTTGGAGACGCGTAAATGACGTCTTCGCAACGCTTCCCCTAATGGCGATCATAGACGATACGATCTTTGCGTGTCACGGGGGTATTCCGCTGCTGTGCACCAACGCAGACTGTTGTGATGTCAGTGGACGCGAGAAGGAGCCACCACAGGAAGGGCAGCAGATGCATGAGGGGCAGAAATTGGGGAAGAAAGGGAAGGAAACACACGGAATTTTGTCTCCCGCAAGTGTAACGTCAACATACGATGACAGCATTCCGCACGAAGACTTCCTACAGTTTCTTATGAACGCTACATCGAGTGAAGTGAGCGAATTTCGCTTTCGCTGTGTGATGCCGGAGAGTAATGATGACGAACTTACAGCGCGGTACCGTCGTCTTGCGCGCGAGCTGCTCTGGAACGATCCCGCGTCGTCTGCCGTGTCCAGTGACACCATGTTGATGCGAAGTGAGCAGGAAAATGAAGGGCAGGCGTCTTGCCAAGTCCAGTTTGACGCCCACGGCTTTCGCAGCAATATTGGGCGAGGGGATCATAAAAACACCATTCGCGAGTTTTCTGTGGCTGCACTAGAATCCTTTATGCAGCGCTTGGGATTCACACTACTGATCCGTGCGCATCAGCAGAAAATGGCTGGACTGGAGATGGGCTTCTCCGGCCGCGTAATAACACTTTTCTCCTGCTGCAACTACTTGGGCGACGCGAACAGTGCAGGTGCCTGTCTCATTCTGAATAAAGAGGTGCACCCCGTCTCATGGTGTCGCACTGTTGTAAGTCGTGCCGCAGGGAGCACGTCTCAACCCTGGTGGAAGCCTGCAGAGCCTGGCATGTGGAGTTCCGGCTCACTCGTTGAAAGTCTCTGCAGTACCACAGATAAGTTCAAGGACAAACCGCCGGTGCCGTCCTACGTGGGATCCTCGATCGTGAGGGTTGGGTAGAAGCGGGATGTGGGGACGTGCGGGGTGTGATTAGGATAACGCCGCAGTGCACGCACGCTGGTAGACCACTTTTCTGTTCCCCCCTCACTTTTTTGCTGTTGTTGTTGTATGTATGTATGTATGTATGTATGTATTATGTATTGACGTTATTCTTTCATGTGGTTGTAGGTGTACGGTGGGCGGGCAAACAAAGAGGGGGAAAATTGAGCGATGATGCGCTACTGCACTGAAGATAATACATACTTTTGTGAATAAAAATAAAATAAAATAAAAATGGTTCTCGGTGCGTCTTAAAGTGTATTACGTGAATCCTCACAATTTTTATTTTTGTTTTCATTTTCAATTTTGTTTTTTGTTTTTTACTTTGACTACTCAATGCTTGATATATACATATACATATACATATATATATATATATTTATTTTTGGGGGGTTTGTTTCTGCTGTTATTCCTCTTTGATTTGGTCGCCGGTGGTGGGGCTTCGCCGCACCTCAATTTGCCCCCCTCAGCCGCTTTGTTTGTTTGCGTGTGCCGGCGGCGGTGCTCCCTGTAGTATCTGTGTTCATCCCTTTTTTCATCCCTTCCTTGTTTCTTTTTTTCCTCTTCTTTCCCTTGTTGCCGTCTTGGCGCGAAAGAAGCGGGTGAGGGAGCCAACGCAAGCGGGGAGAGGAGCAGCAGAGGAGCCCTCCAAAAGGTAAAAAAAAAAAAAGCCTTTGCGCTGGACTCTTGCTGCGGAAAAAAAAAAATAAGAACACAAACTCACAAAGAAGAACAAAATCGCACGCTAACCGTCAAGTGTGCGTGTGTGTGTGTGTGACGACCACCCGACAGCAGCATGGAAGGCGCCAACATGTCTTCGCGGCGCGACAGCCGCAACTTCGGCGTGGCAGACCACACACTGAATCAGACACCCATGGGGTCTCTTGACGCCTCCGCGGCTCAACAACCGGACATGGACCGCGATGCGTTGGTGGAACGCGTCCTGAAGGGCACGGACCCCAGGGTCATGTCCACCCCGGTGTACTTCGACTACAAGAAGGACGCACGCGTTTACCGTTTTTTCCCTAGCGTGGGGCAGACGGCGCGACACTTTGTGGACGACGGCAGCACAGTGCGCAAGGATGACCCGGAGGCGGTGCAGCATGCTGAGGACCGCCAGCGCCGCGAACGCGACACGGAACTCGCCGCCCGTGCGGAACTGAACCCAGACTTGATTGAGGGGGGTGTCTCCACGAGCATTTTGAAGAATCAGTTCAACTACAGGGACCGCGGCAACCAGACGATGAACAACCCAATGAAGGCGCGTTGCGTCATGACAGACCCACCACCGTCGACAAACTTCAGTGCTATGGCCACCGCGTGGGAAATTTATGACGCCTACGAGGAGGATCGAATTCAGACCGAAAAGGCCGCAGCGGCGCACAAAAAGGCCTCAACACACCGCACTGGAAAGGACGAAGATAAAATGAACTTGACAATGGATGACACCAGTTCCATCAAAACGACGGAAGAGATTTTAAGCTCCGTCACGTATGGGCATGCGCTGAAAATTATTGAGCGAATGGTCAATCAAAATGACTGTCACGACGTTATTGAGGACTTTAAGTACTGGGAAGACGAGAGTGATCTATTCAAGGAAGATGGCAATCTACTTCCACTGTGGCAATTCTTTACAACAAAGGTACGGCACCGTGCGGTAACTAGCATCTCGTTAAATAATCGCTACAAGGATCTGTTCGCGGTAGGCTTTGGTAGTTACGACTTTCAGCGGCAAGGTAAAGGTGCTATTCACTGCTTTACTTTGAAAAACACGGTACCCACAATCTCAGGGGTACAAATTCCCGCCCATCCAGAGTTTTCATTTTACTTGGAAAGCGGTGTCATGTGTCTTGAGTTTCATCCCGAAGAAACGGCGTTATTGGCCTGTGGTTTACACGATGGATCGGTCTGCGTATTTGACCTCCGCATCGTGAGCAAGGACAGCAAAGAGGTCGTTAAACCCATCTTTAAATCTGACGTACGCTCCGGCAAACACATGGACCCTGTTTGGGAGATTCATTGGTGCAGTGGTTCCTTGGAGCTCCAGTTCTACTCGATCAGCACTGATGGTCGTATTACCAGTTGGTCACTACACAAGAAGGAGTTGATCTTCAAAGATATTATGACGCTGACCACAGGTGCATGTACCTCAGACCCTGAAGCGATCTTGCTTAGTCGCCTAAGTGGGACCTGCTTTGACTTTTCTGCGGCACATGAAGGACTCTTTATCGTGGGCACGCAGGAGGGTTCCGTGATGCTGTGTAGCAAAGGGTACCATGGACAATGTTTGGTACGGTACGAGGGGCACACCATGCCTGTGTACACGTGCCGCTGGAATCCATTTCATTCCGAAATCTTCCTCACCTGCGCTGCTGATTGGGCAGTGAAACTGTGGCTTAAGAGTTCTACGAAGCCACTCTTGATCTTTGACGCAGGTGACTCTGTGGGCGACATTGCATGGGCCCCGTACAGTTCTACCGTCTTTGCGGCGGTCACCTCAAACGGCAAGGTTCTCGTGTTTGACCTGAACAAAAATAAGCGTGAGCCTCTCTGCTCCCAGACGGTGGTGAAGAATGCCAAACTCACCCACATTGCCTTCCACAAGGACGAACCAGTCGTCATCGTGGGTGACTCACGTGGCTCGGTGCTCATCCTGAAGCTCTCGCCGAATCTGCGCACCCTCTCCAAACCGAAGAAGGGGGAACCCGACGATCCATCGAGTCTCCACAAGCTTGAGGTGGACAAACTCAACCGGTTGATAGAAATTACCCTCAAGGATAGAGTACTCTTGGGGCAGTGTTGAATGCATCTCGGGCAAGCGACAGCGAGGTGACGCTGGGGGAAGGACACCAGAAGCAACGGGGGCCCAGCGACACAAAAACAAAGCGGAAGCACGAATTCTTTGACAAAAGTGGAGGAAATATGAAGTACAACGAATGCCACCTGTTCGGCTTCAGATAAGATCTTTGTTGATGCTAGTGTGACGCGATAGTGAAGTGGGTGGGGCTGTCTCGAGACGAAGAGCAGCAGCAGGCAGACTGGAAGGAAGGAAGGAAGGAAGGAATTCCAAGGAACAGACAGGAAGGAATAGACACGAGTTCACAGCCACCACCAACACCACCGCTTGGTGTCGTTGCAGCCAACACATGTACAAATATGGATATACATATATATATATGTCTATCAGCCACCTGTTGATACACGTCTGCGGGGTATCACTGGTTCGTGTGTCTGATTATGCGCTGAAGTTTGGGTCTCCCCATCTTTGTCGTTGTGCATACATGACGACGGTGTGCCGTTTTCATTTACTGTGCGTTTGATTGCTTCTTCTGGCCTCTGTTGCGTTGGATGTGTAATATCTACGCGGTCGTGTCTTTTTTTTTTTTTGGTGCCGTTCTGCTCCCCGGTCGTACACACACAAGGGCGTGTGATTCGCAGCAGCGTTATAGAGGCTGAAAACACGAGGGACGCAGGGGAAGCAGAGTATTTCAAGGAACAGCGGCTAAAGTGAAGAATAAGCAAAAAGGAAGATATTACGAGGGTGACAGTACATCACATTACACGCTGCCTTACGTGATAGGCCTCACAAACTTCACATTGGCTGCTTCAAGAAAAAAAACAAGAGGCACTCGATTGTGGACCCAGCGCCGAAGCTGCGTGTCGCATTCCCAGAAACAACACATACACACCCACACCCACACAAGTGGTGAGGGTGCGGTGTGATCGCGTGTCAGCTGCACTGAAGCACTAGAGGAGGTTTACGAGTTTACAAGCATGTATGATAAAAGTCCAGTGGACCGACGGTTCATGGGCACCGTCTACGCCAACCACAGCAGCAGCAGCAGCAGCAGCAGCATGATAAAGTCATACTGGCACAGCCAACTCCGCGCCTCAGGGACGCCGTTAGAAACAAGGGCAGCCTCACTGTCTAAGGATAGAGCGACTACTGCGTCCGATCAATACACCCCGTCGTCAGGAAGCAGTAGTGGGCTGACAGAGTCTTGTACACACAGCCTCACCGCGGTGACTTCGTCTGGTTCAGCCTCACTCCGTAGTAAATCTTTGTCTAACTCTCGCCATCGACGTTTGCGTGCTGCGGCCCTTTCCGCAGAAAGGCATGGTGCAAGTGATATACGTGAACGTTTTGGCGCATTGGCCAAGCCGTTGTTTCAAAATTTTTTACTGCCCCAAGTTGAGGCCCATGAGACGTGTCCGACACTGACGGTTGTCCTCGATCTTGACGAGACCCTGGTTAGCAACCGCAATGGGGCTTTTTTGGCTGCCATTTTGCGCCCGTACTGCTTGCACTTTCTTAATGCCCTTCAGCACATGAAGGGGCTGGAGGTTGTCTTGTGGACGGCGTCAACGAAGGAGACGGCGTTGCCGGTGGTGGAGCAGCTGAGCCAAAGCGGACTTGTCTTTGATGAGGTGATATACCGCAACGATATGTGGTTCACGGAGCCGCTCCACACAAAGGATCTACGTCTCTTGGGACGAGACATGGACCGGCTACTCATCGTTGACAATGCGGCGAATTGCTGCAAGCTGAACCCACGAAACAGCGTTCTCGCGGATGATTTTTACGGGTGCCGCAGTGAGGAGGATGCGACGCTAGTCAACGTCTACTACATCATTGAGCGTGTTCTTAGAGGTTGTCAGAACGACGTCCCGGCGAGTGACACTTTATTGAGGCTTGCGACGGATGGGCAGTTGTGTAGTCCCTTTGTCTTGACCCTGCCACATGCATGGAAAAGCCTGCCGTTGCGCGACATTGCACCGCTCAAAATCCCTCCACACGGTCGCTTTATCCGTGCCCGCCGTGAACCGTTAGGCGAGGCAGTTATGCACCATTGGACGATATAGCCCCTGCGTGTTTATGGCTCTTTCTCTCTCTCTCTGTGTGTGTGTGTGTGTGTGAGAGAGAGAGAGAATCTCAGCACCGATTCCTTCCTTCATAGAGGAAAGGGAAGATGACTGGTGGAGTGAGATACCCTCATGCGCAACGGCAGATGCAGGTGCATGATGCACATACGTATATAATACATGCATAAACACATGTATGATTGTGCGTATATGCATATTTATTTGCTTAAATTGTTGCGGAGGAAAAGAGAGGAGTTGCTTGTGCGTGCATGTGGGCAAGTGGATAAATCATAGATCGATAGAAAAAGATGGAAAGATCATATAATTTATTTGTTTTTTACAAAAAAAAAGAGTGATAAAGAAGAAGAAGAAGAAAAAAAAAAGGTGGGGGGGGGAAACCCACATGAGCGGGCTTTCTTCACTTCACTACCCCTCCCATCTCTCTATCTCTTTCTCTGTGAGAGACACGCAAGCTTTCTGACTCGCTGTGGATATTTGTATTCGTAACAGGGATTGAAAGAAACAAGCGTGATTGTTATTTTTTTTAGAAACTGAAGAGTATGCAATGACCTCATGTAATGAGGTCCATATGCATATATATCTGCTCAGGGAGAGAGAGAGAGAGGACGATAATGAGGGGGGTGCAAAAGGGCGTTGGTGACGTGTCATTGTGGCACTTGTGGCTTCAGTTGATGTGCCTCCAGTGGAAAGGGCAACGGTTGGCTGCATGCGTCATTGCCCAAGTTACTCTATGCTCACAGAGCAACGCAGTGATGGGCGTGAGTGTGGGTCCAACCTGTCCCACTGAGGTTGATTCCCTTTAGCTGCATTCCTTCCACCCCTCACTCCGACAAAAAAAAAAAGTAAATAAAACCACACAAAAACACACAAACCACATCACCCACAGTATCGGTGTGGATTTATAGACAATAGAATCAAATAGTTGCGGTGTCGTGGAAGCGGCGGTTCTCTTGCCCCTCCACAAGCGTATATATGTATATATATATATGTATGTATATGTCCGCATTGTCACCGCACCTATTTGTGTGTGTGTGTTGGGTTGGGTTGGGCATTTCACAGTTAGGTGCACACACAGCAACAGAAGGACCCAGGGAAAGTTAGAAAGAAAAGTGCATTCACTTTATTGCACCTTTTGGTTTATTTATTTTTCGTTTGTCGTTCACTGACGAGAGGAAACGATGCAGGTGTGAGCTTTTTTTTTTGTTTGTTTGTTCGTTTGTTTGGTGATGCGTCAGTTGTTGATGCGTTTGCATACCGATTTACTTCCACAATTTTTTTGAATACTTCTACGTGTTGGCTGTTCTGAAAGGTTTTTTTTTTTGTTACACATAAAGAAACGGCGTGGCTGTTGCGCTGCGGCGCACCCTACCAGTGCAGGATAGAGAAGAGACGTACCGTTTTCACCAAACACAGTTGTTATGCATGTGTCCCTCTTTTTCTTCTTATTCTCTTTTGTTGTCCTATTGTTGCGTGGAGGATACACAGATACAGTTCTCTCTCCTCTGTGTTCCTTATAGGAGACGGGAGGCGTTGTGGTCGTTAAGTGAGAACCAAAAGAAGGGTGGGCGGGAAATAAGGTTATTTGGAAACATATTTTGAGCGGAAAGACAAGCGGTATATATAGGGAGTGATCAGAAATGCCGCCACGACCGGCCAAGGGACGTGCGGCGCAGTCGTTTGTGAAGGCCCGTGGCGCACCGGATAGTCTTCAGAGTTTTTTAGGTGGTCTGTCAATACCTGCGCAGGGTTCTGCCGACGATGCGGCTATGATAGAGGTGAATCTGAAGCTCCTGCATAAAACCAGCGAAGTAACATTGTTCAAGGCTCTCTCAGAATTGAATCGTTTAGTGGCCGTTGTGGCGGCAGATGAGCTTATTTCGTATGTGCCGAGTATTATTGAATCTGTGCTACGCCATGCCGAGCATCATAATGCATCTGTTCGCGCCGGTGTTTTTGGTCTTTTGCTTAATATCGTCCAACGGGGGAAGCCGCTGCAGCGGGAAGTGGTTCGTGGGCTACCGTCGCTTGCCGTAGTGTGGGTATTGCGTATGAATGACATGGAAAGCTTTGTGCGAAAGGAATCCCGAGCGGCCTTCAGTGCAGCCATTACCCCTGAGATGCTGCACAGGCATGCTGAAACCATCGTGGAGGGTCTCATTGAAACGTTTCAGACGGTGATTGAACAAAGTCGTGGAAAACCGCTCCAAGACGACAATTTGGATCGAAGATCCAACACATTGTATTCCTCGATGTGTGGGATGGGTTACATGATGCGGCAACCTGTGGCGGCGCGAGCGAAAATCATTGACTTTGTGGAATCACAGTCACTACAGCCCATTTTACCCACACGAGATGGCAACGCGAAAATCAGCCTTGTGGCGAAGACACCTGTTGTGTGCTCGGCCTCACTCTCACTGTTGTGGGATATAGTTAACGCAAGGCTTATGACACCGAAACTTCACTGCTGCGTCTCCAGCGCAATCCACAACGGTTTATTTAATAATGAAATAGTGGTAATGCGGCGGGTTTGGGAGCTTTTGCTGCTGTGGTCTGGCGACAGCACCGAAACTGCTATTGATTACTTTGAGGATGATTTCCTGCAAGATGTTATGTGTATTTTCGTGCGTTGTCACGACCTTCAGGCGGTGGAAGTAATTTTTCCCTCCATTGTTCCGTTGCTTGTGCCCCTCACGCGTGATCCACGCTGCGCGGACACGGCTGCCGAGTTTGGGGAGACTCTCGTGCATAAATTGCATCGTCTTGGCGACGTGAGCCTGCAGGAGTGGCGGTTGGTGTTATCTGCCCTGATGCAGCTGTGGGAGCTTCTCTGCGTTCGCTCTGCAAAGCGAGGCGACGGGCATGAGCAGGACGGCGTCAAACTGTTTCACCACATGCTCATCACCCTGGCCACTGTGATGGAATCCTCAGCTGCGAGGGCACGCTACCTGGATGCCACCGTGTCCATTGTTGCGTTAAGCATGAAACGAGCCGCTCGCCACGAGGAATCTTTTTGCGGATGCCTTCTTGTCTTGTGCAGCCACCCTGACGCCTTTACTCCCGTTCTTTCCGAAGACGCGAGCGACGCACTTCGGCAGAGCTTTGACTTGCTTCAGGCAGGGATCCTAGGCGCCATTGTTACCCTCCCTGGCGTCTCGCAGGAGATGGAACAGCTGATTACAAAGTATTTGCGAAACAAAGTTTGGGAACCGTTACTGGTGTTATTGCAGGCATGTACACCTCCAACCAGTGGTGGTGGTGAAGGGGGTACGTCGTTTACCCCAACACGGGAGGTGCGATTGGAGGTTGCAAAGGGCCTGGTGGATGCCATCCGGAAAGACGCCAGCATACGGAAGGAAAAACAGCTTGAGGAGCGTGAGGCAGAAGCGGACGAAGTACCCTTGATTTTCTTTAAGAAATTACTTGAGCTTGTGTTGATCTGGAATGACGCTGAAATTCGGGGGCAGCTGCAGACGCTTGTCGTTGGCGCCTCTGATGAGCTGTGCTGGGTCAAGGATGCTATCATCCTCGATGACATGCGGGACTCTGAGCGGTTTTTGGGTCTCGTCTTGCGGGCATGCGAGGATGCGGACTTTTGCACTATGGAGCGCTTCGTAGAGGCGCTTGGAGAGGTGCAGATGACGTTGTCGAAGCCGGCGAAAGAGCAGCTGCGTCAGGCGTTACAGCATTCACTGGATGCCATCCTGCGGCTTGTCTCTGACGAGGACGGGGCGGCGGCAGGAAAGGCGGAAGGCGAATCTCAGGCCGACTCGGACACAGCATGCAGCAAGAGGAGTGACGCCACTGAGGGCGAGGCCTCAAGCGATGACAGCGACGAAGATGTCGCAGGCGAGGAAGAGGAAGAGGAAGAGGAAGAGGAGGATGAAGACGAGGTGAATAGGGCCGGAGAAGTCTTGCAGCGACTTTCGTTGTGGTGTGATCTTCTTTACAAGGGGAAACGGTTGCCCGCACTGTTGGATTTTAGTGGCGACGACCTGATTTTGCCGACACTGTTTCGTATTGTGGCCACCATTTCACCGAGGCTGCATGCGGAGCAGTACATGTCTATCAAGGCGCTTCGTGTTGCTCTGCGGGATGACAAGGATCCCTTGCTGCATGCGATGGCGAGGAAGAAGCACTATCTCGGCGTGCGCCAGTTCAGTGCGCTGGTGGAGAAAGTCGAAGGGTTACTGGACTCATACGAGGTGGGTGTGGAACAGTTGGACACGGCGTCCCTCGAGTTGTTTGATGATGTCATGCGGGATCCGTCGTGTGGTCTCGCCGCGTGTGGTCAACTTTCCCGCCTGATACCATTTGCGTCAAGTACTCTGCTGCAGGGAATTGTCTGCAGCACAGAGTTGTGGGTGGAGAACCAGGTGCTTTTGCGGTGCACAGGCGTACCCACCACGGACGTCCCTTTCGCCATGCTGGATCGCTACTGTTCACTTGACGTGATGGACCTGTCGCTGCTGCGCTGTGTAAGGACGGCACAGCTTGTGCATCTGCTCGCGCGTTCTGTTCCTATTGAAACCTGTGACACTGTGGCTGTGCTGCTTCCACTACTCCGCGCCGCGCGTGTGCAGGAGGTGTTGTCGGAGCCGATACGAAAGTTGCTCATGACAAAGTTGCTTCCACACGCGCTTTTGCGAGTTAACTCGCGGGACGAGGTCGTTGCGCTTTTGGATAGCGACGCAGAGCCGCACCTTTTGCTTTGCACGCTTGCAGCTGTGATTCGTGACACTGCAGTGTGTGTTGGTGACGCAGTGCTGGAGAGTGCACGCCGCATAGCGTGTGTTGTGACAGAGTGGATGATCAATTCCCTACTCTTGAAGGAGGGAGCAGCACCTGTGAATGAGAAGGCCGTCGCGGCCTACCGCGCCTTCTTTGCCTCTCTTGATGAAGCTGCGGATGTGATTGGTGACTCAATTCTCTCGTCCATCACCGCAAGACATGCGTCTGCTGTGCAAGAGGCGATGTGTATGTTGCCCACACTGCCTCCGCCTACCGCACTCCTGACGATGACGATGCATCGGCACCTCAGCACAGCTCCTGTTGTTGTTGCCAGCACGGTGCAGCAGGTGGTCACCTACGCTCAGCACCTGCGCCCGCTTGACGGATTTGAGTTCCTCGCAGAACTTTCCTCCAGCCGCATCCTCGACACGGCAGCCTATAATGAACTTGTGCATACCATGACGCATCTCCTGAGCCGTTGTTGTAGGCTGCGCCACATGCCACCGAACGGTAGATTGTTGTCGCAGGCGCCGAATGAACTTCCCATGAGTTTGCAGGATCTCCGACGTGTTGTCGTGTCCGCCGTGTCAGCGCTCCGCGGTGGGATTTTGCACGGGCGTTTGGACGATATTCTGCGCAGCTCCATCAATCTCATTCTCTTCGACGCCGTGACTGAGTGTGTTGTGTCACTTCGCCAAACGAAGGAGGAGGATGTGCCCCTCGTCACGAAACTGATTGCGTTCACGTCAAACTGCCTCAGTGAATTGGTGACCTCCGACGTTGCCGTGCTGCGGGCCTCGGAAATCACCGTGACGAAGGTGGCGGGTGTGATGAACTTTGCCTACCAGTGGCTCTGCGCCACCCCTATTGCGAAGTTAGAGTCCATCGGAACCGAGGCTGTTGCAAGTGCCATTTCTGCGGTGTCGCTCGTGTCTGTTTTGACGCTTATGCGCTCGGGAGTTGTTCTGCTGCCCATCATGCGTCAGATCACCGCAAAACGCTTGCTGCGGAACCTTCGTCAGGAATTTAGCACCAGATCCCCAGCAAAACTGAAGTTGTTTACGCGAAACACAGCAATCATCATGAAGACAAAGAAACAAAAGCTGGCGCTGTTCCCGCATCTGCTTGCCTGGTGTGTCACACTGAGTGGGGCGGTTCAGCAGGACATCGCAAAGGAGCGACGTGAGGAGGTATTGCACCTACTCGACCTTCTCTGCTCGCTGCTGCTCACGCCAGTGGTGCCTGGCAACAAGCGTCTTGACGGCACGTACCTTTGCACCACGACAAAGACGAGTGGGGAACACCTTGGGTTTGAAACCGTTGCCTTGACGCGTCCAAACGCGGCGGAGCCGATGAAGGAATTGGCAAAAGGGGCTGCCGCCGTTTTCGCTCTACTGTTGCAGAGCAACACATTGTCTGTTGTGAAGAGCTGGTTGGAAACGATTGAGCGGAAACTGCAGGACCTCTTTTACGTTTTTGTGGAGGAACATGTCTCACCCATGCTCATACAGGAGAGTCTACTTACCGTGCTTAGTAGGAGCCCCACCGGTGAGCCCACCTTTGACGTGAATGAAAACTACAACGTCACCGTTAGTATGCCAAAGAAACTTATCACACTGCGGTACACCATGGAGGATGCAAGTGTTATGGTGCAGATTGAAATACCCGCCGCCTTTCCGTTGAAGCCCCCTATGGTTACTTTTGAAAGCGGCAAAGGCTGTGGCGTCTCAACCGAAAAGTGGCGTGCCTGGATGCTTAAAATGACAATTCTACTCTTTGGAGGCTCTGCCAACATATGGGAGTGTGTGACAGTCTTTGGAAGAAACATGGACGCTCACTTCTCCGGCCAAGAACCGTGTCCCATCTGTTTTTCAGTGGTGTCGGCGGTGGATCATCGCCTGCCCGATATGCAGTGCGCCGTGTGTCGCAACGCCGCTCTTCACTCTTACTGCCTATATGCGTGGTGGGCAAACAGTGGACAGACGGTATGCCCGCTCTGCCGCTCTCCGTGGGTATCAAGCTAGGAGTATCTACTGGGATTTTTTCTTTTGATTGCTTCCTCCGTGTTGAAGCTACATTATTAATTGCACGTGCGCCATTTAATCTAATTGCTCGATCTCATTCCTTACTCTGTCGTTCTCACGGATGCGTCTTTAACCGAGGCGAAGACCCCATGGTGTTCAACTACGATGTGTCCTGCATTAATTTCCTCGTCCATTTCTTTTTTCTTTTCCCTGTCAGTTGGCCGTTATTTACCCACCTTTCTGTACATCGCTCTATTATGGGTGCGTGATGTTGTTTTTCATACTGTTTTTGTTTTTGCCCCCTCCTCTTTTTTTTTTTTCGTTGTGTTATTCACCCACTCGTGTCTCCTTTTAGAGGAGGAGGGCAAGAAGAAGTGTACGCCTGTGTGTGCAGCTTACCGTACATGAATGGAGCCTGTGATTAGCCCACTGCCGCGCAACGAGTCGTCATTCGCCTTGAGACGGGCTGACTTTGACCGCACACGCCGGTTGCATGCTGGCACGCTCAACATATTTCTCGCAGAGGAACCCGCCACCGTCGCCGCGACCACCCCTCACGCGGTTCGTCGCTCTCACCACAATGATGAGTCAAACGAGACGCGGGAGTTCATGTGGGGACGCTTGCGGCGCGTCGAGCCGCCGCAGCACACGGAAACACCGCAAGGTATCCATCATGTGGAGCGGGCTGCGGGGAAGCGACAGAACATTCAGGTTGTTGGCATTACGGAAACGTACAAGAACCCGAAAAACTTGCCGCCGGCACGGAGTGGCGTACGCTGCAGGGTGCGAAGCAACTCATCTTTGATGCATGACGTCATGTCCCATGCGGGCGATGGAGTTACGCAAAGCGGCAGCAGACGTCCACAGTTGCGCGTTGTCAATTACAGTCGGCAGGAACGCTTCTCTCAGGCGGTGCGTGATCATGTGCAGCGCCGACGGGGCGGCATAACAGCCTTCTATGTTAATCTTGCGCGCGGTCTGGTGGGTCGCGTTGCGACTGAGACCCCGGTGTCACCTCCGCGGGAGTGGCATTTGGAGGATCTACCTCCGACCCACACCTTGACGCTGGACAGTTGCAGGGATCAGCTGCAGTCACTAACCGGCATCACCGTCTCGCCAGAAGAGCTGGCAGAGATATTGTGGGGCGCAAAGGAAAACATCGCTTCCTCTGGCGGTGGCGATCCCAGCGAGAAGGAGCGAGGTCAAATGACAGTCACATATCGCGACTTTTCTGGGGCCTTTGGCGATAATGCCGAAAACAACAAACTTCTCTCCCTCAAGATTTAAAATGAAAAAGAAAAAAAAGGCGAAGAGAGAAATGAGTACATGGATAAAAGGAGTAACAATATGGAGGGGGTTATCATGAGATGGTGACGGTACTCGTGAGAAGGGTAAGACAGCGCACGGTGGTTCTTAGACTTACCCTTGTTTAACTGAAGTACTATTATTGTGTTTGATTTGTTTTGAGCTCCATTCCATAGAGGGTTCGTATACATGCATAACTATATATACAGGCATTTGTGTCTATATAGAGAGAGAAGGAAAGAAAGAGAGAGTTTATCTATATATATATATATATCTGTCTATATATCCATATATATATCCATATATGACATCTATCTATGAAATACTTTTGTTTTTTGAATTCTGAGTGGATGACGCTGTAGTAGATTCGTCTTTCCATTTAAGGGCAGTTCGTTCTCTCCCCCACCTTTTTTTTTGTGTGTTTTATTTTGCTTGTTGCATTTACTTCTCCTCCTTGACAGGTGTTCACTGGCTGTGCGGAACGGAAAGTGGTTTGTTGCCACCGCTCGCTAAGGATGAATGTCTGCGGTGTGGGATTGAGGCGGTGCATGGAGATCCTCGTAGAGGAGAGCGGGTGTGGGAGCGACTCCTCAGCTGCTCCTCTGTCAGAGGAGTCTCGAGAGGATGACAAGGTTTTGACCGGCACTGCACTACTTAACGGCACCCTCACGGAGGAACGCATCACGCAGGCGGAAAGTCTCTGCATGATCGGCGGCGTGTTTGATGATTTTGCGGCGAAGTACGTTGCCTCCACAGTGTTCCCAAAGACTCGTAGGCTGCGTGTGGTGGACCTGGCGCACACACAAATTACTCCCACCGACCTTCGAACGATTCTGCACGCCTTGGAGCGAAGCCCCGCCGAGGCCCTGGAGCAGCTGTCCTTCCGTGACATGAACCTTCACAACGAGGAGTGCGATCTCATTTGTAGAGTGATGCTGAAGCATGCCTCGCAGCTGAAGCGATTGGAGCTGCAGCACTGCCACGTGAACGATACTGCGGCGCAGGCAGTGGCGGAGGGTGTCGCTCAGGCGGAGGCTTTAGTGGAAGCGAGGCTTGCGGACAACAACATCATTCCCGCATTTGCGATCCCGCTGGAAGAGTCTCGGTGGCTTTTCTTTCCCTCCTCGCTCAAGCTGCTTGACGTTAGCGGCAACCGCATCGAGTCTGTTCATACTTGTGGCCTCTCCGTTAGTCTGAGTCGTTGCGCCGCCTCTCTGGAGGAGCTTTACATGTCGCGATGTTGCGTGACCGAGTCGTTGCTAACCACACTTCTGCGCGTGGGGTTTCACTCCTCACATTCTCTTCGCGTGCTAAATGTCTCCTCTGGTCGCCTTTTACACACGGCCGGTAAAGTGTTGTGTAGCGTGCTTAGCGAGTGCCCAAATTTGGAGAGGTTATACGTGCAGGGCAACTTTATTGAGGCGGATGGTGCCGCACAAATAGCCCTTGGTATTCCATGTGCGAAGCGCCTGGCGGTGTTGGGCTTGGGGAGCTGTCATTTATCTGGTGTGGGTGTGCAAGTTATTGCAGAAGCAGCACACAAATGCTCATCTCTGCGTGAACTGGATTTTTCTAATAATTCGGTGACGGATGCAGACGTCTTTCACATTTGTGCGCGTCGTGAGGACAGTAGCCTGATGTTGAGTTTCCTCGACTTATCGGATAATCCCCTGTCGGAGCTGTGCAGGCCAGCTCTTGAAGCTCTGTTAAGGAGGAATAAGACTGGTAGCTGCACCGTACTGGTTCGCGGTACGGCTCTTGGGGCTGATTTATCTTATCTGCGATGCGACAATTTATAGGATAGGCTTTAATGGTGCAATGCATGGATAGCTGTGAAGGTGTGTGCTTGTGTGGCAAGCACGCCTACTTTGCGCTTGTGTATTTTTTTTTCTCGTGTAGGGAAACTTTGTTGTTTCTCACGATGGTGATGTCGGGGATGTAAACGTATTGTGTTCTGCAGTGGGGGATGCACATGTGCCACCGCGGCTAGTGAGGGAATGAGTGGTGGGTGACTACTGTTTCTCTTCTGTTAGCATTAGGCTTCGATACCGCGAGAGAACAGCAGGTCTGGTGGTGAAGGCGGGGGCAGGGAAGAGATCCCCTGTTGCGTGTACGCTGCGACGCCTTTTTTCCCCCCCCTCCTTCTACTGCCTTCAAAAAAATATATTATTTTCTTCTCTTTTTTTCTCATTGCGCGGTCTCGCAGAAAAAGATTCCGACGCAGACACACGACACGGCCGACTGTTTAAATACATAATGTTGCGCCGTTCTCTGGCTGTTTTTGGCAAGAAAGCCGCCCCTCCATTCAAGTACGTCCCGCTTGTTCCGCACGTCTCCCATGAGGACACAAAGTTTCGTCTGTTGACGAAGGACTACGTTTCTCTCGTGAAACCAGGCTCTGGCCTGCCGGAGATCCTGCGGGTGGAGGTGGAGGGGCTGACGCAGCTAGCCGTGGAGGCGATTGGCGATGTGCAGCATCTTCTTCGGCCCTCACACCTCGCCTGTCTGCGGCGAATCTTTGACGACCCGGAGGCCAGCGACAATGACCGGTTTGTCGCGCTGCAGCTTCTGAAGAATGCCAACATTGCGGCAGGTCGCACCCTTCCCGGGTGCCAGGACACGGGCACGGCAATTATTGCAGGCTACAAGGGTGAACAGGTGTTCACAACCGGCGACGACGGCGAGGCGTTGAGCCGTGGGGTGCACAAGATTTACACCACCACCAATCTGCGCTACAGCCAAAATGTCCCGCTCACCATGTTTGATGAAAAGAACACTGGGTCGAACCTGCCCGCCCAGATCGACCTATACGCGACAAAGGGGCAGGAGTACAAGTTCTTGTTTGTGACAAAAGGCGGTGGCTCGGCAAACAAGACGTACCTGTTCCAGGAGACGAAGTCGGTGCTTAACCCGAAGTCCCTTCGTATGTTCTTGGAGGAGAAAATCTCCACCATTGGCACCTCCGCCTGCCCGCCGTACCACGTGGCCGTCGTCGTGGGTGGTACAAGTGCGGAGATGACCATGAAGACAGTAAAGTACGCCACTTGCAAATACTACGACAACTTACCCACGAAACCGGACGAGTCAAAGGGTTACGCCTACCGCGACCTTGAGATGGAGGACGTCGTTTTGAATATCTGCCGCAACCTTGGCATGGGGGCCCAATTTGGAGGAAAGTATTTTGCGCATGACGTGCGCGTGATTCGTTTGCCTCGTCATGGCGCAAGTTGCCCCATTGGCATCGGTGTAAGCTGCAGCGCCGATCGTCAGGCACTCGCAAAAATCAACAAGGAGGGAATCTGGGTTGAACAACTTGAGACAGATCCTGCAAAGTACCTCCCGGAGGTCACAGAGGACCAGCTGTTCAAGACACCACCCGTGAAGGTTAATCTGAACATGCCCATGGATAAGATTCGCGCAGAGTTGTCAAAGTATCCCGTCAAGACACGCCTCAGCTTGAGCGGCACCATCATTGTCGCCCGCGACATTGCTCATGCACGCATGCGGGAAATGCTTGCAGAAGGGAGACCGTTACCCGATTACATGAAGAACCACCCTGTGTACTACGCAGGACCGGCAAAATGTCCAGAAGGTATGCCTTCTGGTTCCTTTGGTCCAACGACAGCGGGACGCATGGACGTATTTGTGGACCTCTTTCAGGAAAACGGCGGCTCGTTTGTTATGCTCGCGAAGGGAAACCGCAGTCGACAAGTAACAGAGGCGTGCAAGAAGCACGGCGGTTTTTATCTCGGCAGCATCGGTGGCCCTGCCGCGGTTCTCGCAACAGAGTCCATTCGCAAGGTGGAGGTACTTGACATGGAGGAGTTGGGTATGGAGGCGGTGTGGAAGATTCAGGTGGAGAACTTCCCTGCCTTCGTCGTCGTGGACGACAAGGGCAACGACTTTTTTCAGCAGCTCAAGTGAGCCCAACGGAGTCAGCTGTTCTGGGTCTGCATAGGAAGAAGCTGCTGCAAAAACTAGCACCACCACAGAACTGAAAACATTAGGGTGAAAGCGAGGAAAACGATACAAGAAAGGTACTAAGGCGGCTAATAAGCGTCAAAAAAAAAACAAGGGCATGCGTCCAACGAAAGCGGGTGAGACGGATTGTAGTAGTAGTAGTAGTAATTGTCGTCAGACCACGATGAGATTCAATGGAGAAGCCGGAGAAAACAAAGCAAAACAAACAAAAAAACTTACCTCAGCAGCAATAAAATGGCGATGAGATTACCAGCGACGATAACTGATGTGTGGCCGAGCGGCAACCTGGGGCTTTACACGTTGCTGGAGGGGAGGGAGGCGGCACGTGGGGCCAGTTGTATCCGGTAACATTAACGGCACGGCGGCGTTATGGTTGTGAAGGCGAGGCAAGTGTTCCAGGAGGGATGAGGTGGGGGTGGCCCTCCGTTTTCCCATACGGAAAATGAGATAGAAAAGGAAACATCCTACAGGAGAAGCATGTACAGTGTGCATATTACTTGGCGGATAAGGGACACTTGTGCTTCTTGCCCCACTTGTAGGGGAGGGCAAGGCACGGGAGGGTAACTATTTTTTTTTTCATTTTTTTTTTTTTTTTGTTGTGTGTGTGCATGTCTGTGTGTGTGATGTCGATAATGGAACCCGTTTTCTATACTACAAACTTATTATTATTATTATTATTATTATTCGTTTTATCCTCGCCGCTCTTCCGGAGAGCGGTGCCATGACCTCCGCCTTATTCCTCTTTGCAGGGTTGCTGCATCCATTCTTGGTGTCGTCTCTCTAAGCATCCCACGCCTCTTTGTGGTCTTCATTTTTTCTCGCTTTGACCGCGGCGCCCTGTGTGTGTGGGTGGGGTGGGGGGGAGGGGGCATCGCTGCATTGTTCGTGTATTTCTGTGAATCAGCGCCAGGGGTACGCGAAGGCTGCGTCCGAAGAGGTACTACCAAAATACACACACACACACACACACGCAGACAGACATACATACAGACGCAAGGAGAGAAAAAGACGGCGGGAGAACGACGATGTCTATTCGTTTTTGTCGTGCCGTACCGGTGTTTCGACTGCAGGAGTTGTCCATCGTCTTTGCGGGCGCACAGCTTAGCCAACGGCGGTTGCTTGTGTCGTCATCGTCCCCAGACGGCGACGGCTACGTGCGCGAAGGGGCGATGCATCAGCCCGGGGAGTCTGGGCAACAGGCGGGCTCCAGCACTACGATTGCTGGGAAGGAGACATGGTCGCAGTTTAGCGCGAAGATGCGTTACGGACGTCGCCGCATTCGCGTCATTGACGTGGCGGCCAAAATGTCCTACGAGTATCAGATGCTGCGAAAGATGTGCAAGCGCCGGCCATCGATGCGGCAGTGGACCGTGCGGGACGACTTCTGCGACATGAATCCTGGCATCGTCGTGATGTCACCATCGATGCAGGCTGCCTTCATGAAAGTCTTTCGGCTGAAGGATAAGGGCCTTATCCGGCAGTGCCTGCGCGACATTATTCCTGTCATTGAGTACCGAAATCGCGAGGAGCCGGTGCGGTTGCCGGTAAATCCAGCAGATATGATCCCCGAAGGCGAGGCGGATACGCTCAATCAGAAAAAGCGGGAAATATTTGAGCGTCGTGAAAAGGGGGATAACTTTGCCGAACTTCGGTTGCATGACAAGCGTTCACAAGCCAAACTTCGGTTTAAGATACGGCAACGCCTGCTAAAATTTCAACGGCAGTTGGCGGTGGCCAATGCTGTGGCGAGTCGCTCTGTTCTCTACTCGGCGGACGACGCCATTGGGTACTTCCTCTTTCGGGGAGCGGCGATGTACGCTGGGATGCATCGCGTGTTCTTTGAGCTTAGCAAGCAGCTTCCGCATTTTGTTCCCAAGACGATGTTGGACTTTGGTGCCGGCACCGGCACTTCTACGCTTGTTGCTAAGGAAGTTTACGACCCCGGCGCACTTGCCTACCCGCTCTACCGCTCGCTGCGGCAGACGATGCAGGGAAACGACTCCTCCAGTACGCACCAGCTGGCCGAGCTACGCTACGACTTACAGAGACTCCAGCGCAACAATGCTGAGAAGAAGAAGGTACGCTTCATGGCTGTGGCAGCGCTGCTGGAGAGGGGTGAAGTTGACCCAGCCGACTTACCAGACGACCTGCGACGTGAAATTGGTGAGGTTGCAGCAGTGGCGGCGGCAGCAAAAAAAGAGCGTCTCACGCGGGAGGCCCACGCACGTCACCGCGACGTTGTGGATGGTACCGAATGGGAAAGTGGTGACCCGCTCAACGTGGACCGTGTGACCCGCGAGGACCCGAATGACTTTATGGACGGCGAAGAACACGACGAGCTGCATGATGGCGGTACGACACAAAAAAAAAGACGTGGTGGGAGCAATTTGTTGACCTTGAAAATGAGACAGCACAACAGCGGGCTGCCAAACGTCTTCGACCACTGCAGGAAGTCACCGCGGTTGAGCCAAGCCCCGGCATGATGGAGATTGGGACCATGGTGCTGCACGATGATGTGCCAAACGTGACGTGGAAGCGGTATTTGCTTCCGGAGGATGAAGTGATTCAGCACGATCTCGTGGTGGCGGCGTACTCTCTCAGCGAAATTGCAACAGCGGAGAATCGTCGACAGGTGGTGCAACAACTATGGAAAATGACAAAGGGTGTTCTTGTGCTTGTGGAGTTTGCCAACCTTAATAACTTTAACCTTCTCATGGAGGCGCGTGATTGCCTTCTCGAGGAGAAGGATGTTGGTTTATGGGACTGGCAGCCTACTATTGTTGGTCCATGCCCACACGAGCAACGTTGCCCGTTGCGGCACTGCAAGGCGGGTGTGAAGCGCAAACGTATGCGTATATGCAGCACAGAGGCGCAGTATCGTGCCACCTTTGTTGAGGTGTGGGCACGACATATGCCCTTGAAGATTGGAGTTGAACCCATTAGCTATTTAATTTTTGCACGTAATGAGCTCGTCCCTGAGCGAGCGCTTCGTCGGCAGGAGCAGATGAAGAAGGCGGAGGAGGCAAAACAGCAGGAGAGGGATGCAAAACAACGTGAGTTGTATAAGGCCGCACTTGCTGTGAAGGATGTTGTGTTTGAGCGTCTCAGTGATGAGGCCCTGCACCGCCCTGAGACAGGTGTACCCTCCCCTCTGCAGCACAACCCCTCCGTGGAGGAGGCGAAACCACTGACGCCGCTGGAGGCGGCTCTGCAAGATGGCGCAGTCAGCACGGGGGAGGTTGGACATATGCCAACAGACGTTCCACGCCTTGTCAAGACGGGTAACACGCGCCACAACAAACTCATTTTTCCACTCCAAATGCCTCCCGCGACTCACAAGTTTAACCGTGCCTTTGTGGACGCCGGCTATCAGCGACAGCGTGCCATCACACCAGCAGAGATGCTCGTCGTGCGCCAAGAGGTGGGTCAAATGCGCCGGCGCGTGATGCGAATGGCGTCAAAGTACATGCGTGTGGTGCGTGACCCACAGTGCCGGGGAAAAGTTCAGGCTGATTTTTGTACACCGGACGGTGATCTTGTTAGCGGTCGGGTCTACCGGCGCTTTTACGGTGACCGCAACCGCGTCAGCGCCCACAGTACGATGCGATGGCAGCACATTGGTGGTTGGAAGCTGTTGAAGCGGATCAAGCGGGGCTCACTTTTCCCACACGACGTGCCACTTTACGCTGTCACGAAGCACCCACAAGTGGATTTCCCCAACACGCTGATTGACGTGCGCCACTCCACGGTGGAGCAGACGGCGATGCAGCACAACGACCCCCTGTTGCTGGTAGAGACGCCCGACGATCAGCTTAGTCGTGAGGAGCTGCGTTTGAAGCGGCGGGCGCAGCGGGACGCTGAATTGCAGCAAAAGGTGGAAGGAAAATTGGAGGAGCTTTTTGGCGCCAAGATAAAGCAGGACGCGAACATGGGTGGCGGGCGTATTGACTCCCGTCGCGTGATCACCGAGCAAGAGTGGGCAGATGCCGTGCGTCGCGCCAAAATACGCACGATTCAACACACCAAGAACGCCGTGCCGTTTGCAGCAAAGAGACGCGCCGCACAGCGTGCCATGCAGGTGCGGCGTCGGAACGTAAAACGAGAGATGGCGTCGAACAGGCGACGGTAGCGGCTGACGCACAATTGCCTTTACAGATATTTACATTTAGCCGATTATTTGATGACTGGGGGAGAGACACGGGAGAGAGGGAGGAGGAGACGAAACGTAAAGAGAGGGAGACGTTAATATTGTTGTTGTTTTCTTTCCTGCTCCTCATCCCAGGTGTACGGGTGAGAAGAAGGTTTAGTGTGCGTACTGCGGATACCCCGCATTTGTTTGGGGTGGTTGTATGCTTTTGCCTGTCTCTTTATGTCCCTTTTACCCCTTCTTTATCTCTCTGTGTGGCATTTATGCGCCATGTTTTCTCGCTTCTCACTTTTCTTGCGATTAGCGCTAACTGTGCACGACTAGAGTAATACTCGCGGTTTTCCCTCCAAACCCACGCCCCACTGCCGCCTATCCTCACGCCGACATCCCCACTTACTTGCTCCACTCTCAGCGGTGTAGGTCGCCAGCAGACATCTTTTGCCCCACATGGAGCGCTTCCACAATCTGGCGTATCATCTCCGTGTAGCGCTGCTTGTGGCGCTGCTTCTAATCGGGGGCTTTATTTTTATAGACTCCATGTTTTCCACGTCAGTCATCTCCAGGAAACAATCAACTGAGGTGTGTCGTGGGGTGCGCCCGGTCGACCAAGTTGTGGTTCTTCTTGTCGATGCACTGCGGCCAGACTTTGTGTTACCGCGGCTGTCGCACCATTATGGCAATGGAAAGGAATGTAGTGCCGCCGGCGTGAGAAACACGTTGCCAGCCTATAAGCATGGAAGGACGTTGAAGTACATTGAGAAAAACCTGCAAGATGCAGCAAATCCATCGCACGGTTTTTTCTTCTACGCGGATTTTCCGACTGTGACATGTCAGCGACTGCAGGCCATGACGGCGGGGACCGTGCCGGCATTCCTGGAGCTTAAGGGAAACATCAACACCAACGCAATGGAGACCGACAGTTTGTTGCATAAGCTGCAACAACGATCGATTCTCTATGGCGATAACGCGTGGCTAAATATTTTTCCTGATAATGATAATACGACGGTGTGGAAGAAAACCTTGGGCTTCTCCACATTGGACGTGATTGATTTGGATACGGCTGACGAAACTGTGCTGAGACATCTTCCGTCACTGCTCCTGGAGGAAACGATAGAGAAGGCACCATCTGACTACGCAAAGCTTATCATTGTTCACTTCATGGGCATTGACCATGCCGGCCATACCTTTAACGCGTACCATCCGGAGATGCAGCGTGTACTTGGGCGAACTGACGAAGCGCTGCATAATGTGTCTCGTATATTGAAGCAACGCAACACGAGCATGCGAACTTTACTGCTTCTTCTTGGAGATCATGGAATGACAAACAACGGCGATCACGGCGGGGACTCGTTTCCAGAGACAGACTCGTTTCTGTACGCCGAAATGTTTAATGGAGACCACAAGCCATCATCAAACTCAGAAACAGCAGCATCATTGGCAGCTGCGGCTGCTAAATCTTTGCGTCGAAGGTCTGAGTTAACTGAAGCTCGCTGGGCTGAGGGCCTTGACGCAGATTTGAGAGCAAGCAAACCTTGTCGTGAGATTTCTGGTGTCAACCTCAACCAGCTAAGTGCGGCGCATCAAGTAGATCTGGTACCAAGTATCAGTGCACTTTTGGGTGTCTCCATTCCGTTTTCTAACCTTGGCCGCATCATTCCGGAGCTCATTATGCTTGCTGATCCAGAAGCGGATTTGGACAAGCTTGAGGAGTGTAACTGGCGGCAAGTGAAGACCTTCTTTGAGGAAGCAAAATTTCCAAAGAGTGCGGTGTGGGAGAATGAGACTATACCTTGGCGCGAACGTCTTGTAATGATGAGCTACTTTGGACGTAAAACACGGAATCAAATGAATCCAGGCGGCATTTTTTTGGGTTTGTGCTTCATCATGGTGGCTGCCCTCTCAATAATGCGAAATGATGATGTGTTGCAGTGCCTTCGATCGAAGCGGCTGACGGGCATGTGGACGATGCTGTTATTTGTAATGCGTCTTTGTGCCTTGCTCTCCAACAGTTTCATTGAAAAGGAGGATGTGTGGATGCTCTGTTTGTTAGAGGTTCTTCTTCTGACAGCGCTTCTTGCCACGTCTCAAAAGCGTGCTTCTCCGCTTCTTTATGTGCTGCCGGTGGCCTTGCGGGTTATGGTGCCATTGCTTGGCCGCAGTCTCTCGGATATCGATACTGTTTCCGGGGTGGTGTCTCCATTGGAGGAATGGATGAGTACACATGCTGCTGGATTGCAGTGGGAATACACGGGTCTTGTTATTAGTGCTGTCGTCTTTCTTCTTGCCTCCCTCCGCAATTTCGATCGACTTTGGGTGATGGCACAGGTTTCTCTCATGGCTGTGTGTTACAACCGGCTCATCCTGCACCACATCGCCCCGCTCTTGTTTTTTGTGTTGACTGTATTTGTACGCGGTGGTTCACATCTGCGGTACATGGCAGTTGTCCTGTGGGCAGCTTCCCTCTGTTCTGATAAATACTTGGTGAGCGCTGTAATTGCCATTTATGGGGCGCTACTGCCTTTTGTGGTGCGCGCAATAAGTCACCTTCCAATCCTATCACAGGCGGTGCTGTTACATTTTTTTTCATGGGTTGCCTTCTATTCGCAAGGGAATAAATGTTTTTTGCCTACCGTTGACTTGAACGCCTTTTTTGTGGGCAGCTCCCCCGAGTACGTCGTTTTTGGGGGTATATTGGTTGTTGTGCGGACCCTTAATGCCTTTTGTTTTTTACCCATGGCAGTTATGAGTGTGTACAAGACCCAACGGGCATACGGGTGGTATTTATGCTACTTGTTGGTGTACTTAGCGGTGATGCAGACTGCCGTCTCTTTCTTTAATGCGTACGTTCAAAAGTCTCATCTGATGTTGTTTTCTATTTTCTGTCCAAAACTCATGTTTGATTTTGCGGCAGCCGGCTTGATCATTGTAGGATATGCAGTAGCAACGCTTGTCATGTGAACTTCGCGGTGAATTAATCAATAATTTTTTATAATCTCGCGTTTCTAATTTACTTGTATTACTCTTGTCTTCTCCCTCGCCAGTGGGTTGCCGGAGGCATCTCGGTGACGGGCGAGTCCACTGACATACCCTGGCGCTGGTGGTGATGATGATGCGACTACACAGGCGTTGCTCCTTTTTTTCCCCCTCCTTTCTTTTTCTTCTCGTTTTTGTTGTTCGTTCAAAAACATTTTCACATTGTCTCGGCGCAAGCACCCATGTATAGAGGCAAATCTACTGTTGTCGGTTGACACGTTTGTCTATTTTTTTTATTTTTATTTTGGATATTTCCTTTGCCGTTGGCAATGCGACCCGCAGAAGGGGCACTGCGCTATCGACTACTGGAGTTGCGTGCACGGGTGTGGTACGCTCTATTGCCCAACGATCGCCCGACGCCTCTATTTACCCTGGTGAGTGTCATTGTAAACGGCGCTCAGCTTACTCATGGCTTTTCTATTTTGGTGTCGCTTCCATGCAGCGCCCTCACAATGCAGTGGTGTGCGTTGGGGCTTTCAAACGCCATTGTAAACATGATCTTCGCAATTGCACTTATGTGGCGAATGCGATATCGCATTGAGCAGGGCATACCTACGGAATGGAGTACGTTGCGTCTGTTCATTATGGACCCAATCAACATCACTTTTTTGTTCTACGTCGCCTGGGAGATCCTTTGGATGGTAGGAGCCTCATGGGTGATCACAACGCAGCGACTGCAGGATGCCTGTGGCACGTACATATCGATTCAGCTTGGCTGCTGCTGCGTGTTCCTTATAATGGGCTGCGCGCTACTGTTGATGACGTTTGTGACTGAGCTGCTCAAGAGACCGCGGTGGCGGCTTCGTGCGAATGATATGTGGCGGCGAAGGCACCCCACTCGCGGGTCTGCCCCTTTAAACCTCACCAATATACTTGGTGATGATCACCGCACGGACATGGGGACCATTCCGAGGAGTACACTGCACCACCCGCAGGAGCAGCAGGAGCAGGGGGAAGAGATGGCATTTACGGGGCAGGCGTTGTCATACTCGTCGAACATGGTGGCGGGGAACGCGGATGCCAGTGCGTTTAGGGAGTGGAGCAACCCGCAGGGCAATACACTTTTTGTCATGGAGAACGAAGCGAGTCCCCCACACGGGACCATCTGTTTTTCTCCTCGAGCGTGTGACCAGAATGAATAACACGTACTGTTCTCCGTGGACAGTAACACCACTGAAAAGTTTATACTCCACAACACGAAGGCGCTACTGTAAATTCCCTAACGGTTCCATTGGCGCCGCCGTGTCCAGGAGCCATTGGAGGGCACTGTAGCCCTTGAGACCTATAGGCAACGCCGAGGTCGCGAGAAAAAAAGAAAAAGAAAACTTTTGGTAGAGGGTGGCATGCTTTACGGCGTGTGTGACACTTTAGGTGTCGGCGTATGTACCCGCATGTGCTTCTGGGCCCATAGTGCACCAGTGTGCATATTAGCTTCCTTCGCTGGGTTCTGTGTTTCTGGCAAGTGTGCGCGTGTGGGCGTCCTTGGGTTGCACCTTTTCAAGTCAAAGGCCCGGTGTTTGATTTGATTTCCGTCTGTCTTGTCCCATCGCCCTGTACGTTTTTTTTTTTTTTTGTTGGGTGGTGGTTACGCGACCTTCGCGTGTGCGGAACTGCTCTGCCATCTGCATCAGACGACAACTGTACGCCCTTTCACGTAATGTTATTTCTCCTTTTTTTTTCCTCTCTGTTTCTTTTGTTTTGTTTTTCATTGTACCTTCCGATTTGAAAGTGTGAGAATTCTGCATTTTCAGCCCTAACCAACTCTTAAACCCAAATTTATCAGTGTCTTTCCAGCAATGCGATCTTTTGTCAGTGCACGAGGACCCGCCATGAAGGCTCTTCTGGGAAGCAGCCGCGCCCGCAGCAGTTTCTTTGCCTCTGTTCCCATGGGAGAGCCGGACTCCATCTTGGGCCTCTCGCTCGAGTTCCAACGGGATTCCCACCCCGAGAAGGTCAACCTTGGCGTTGGCGTTTACCGCGACGACGCGAACAAGCCGTACGTTCTCGAGTCGGTGAGGAAGGCGAGCGTTGGCAACGACATGGAGTACGCCCCGATCAACGGTGTGCCGGCCTTTGTGACGGCGGCGCAAAAGCTGTGCTTTGGTGAGGATTGTCCAGCACTCCGTGATGGCCGCGTTGCGAGCTGTCAGGCGGTTGGAGGGACCAGTGCGCTGCGCATTGGTGGTGAATTGCTCAGCCGCTTCATGAACAACTGCACCGCGATATACGGCCCCAACCCTGGCTACGCCAACCACGCGGGGATCTTCAAGAAAGCCGGAATGACCCTGCCAACGTACACGTATTACAATCCCCTCACGAGGTCCTTGAACTTGCCTGGCATGCTCCAGTCCTTGGAGGAGATTCCAGAGGGCTCTGTTGTTCTTCTGCACGCCTGCGCCCACAATCCTACTGGCGTCGACCCTACTCAGAGCGAGTGGATGCAGGTGGCAGAGGTGATTAAGCGGCGGAACCTCTTGCCGTTTGTGGATATGGCCTACCAGGGGTTTGCCACTGGGGACCTCGACCGCGACGCCTTTCTGCCACGCCACCTCGTCAGGACAGTTCCGAACGTAATAGTCGCTCAGTCTTTTTCAAAGAACTTTGGTCTGTACGGGCTCCGCTGCGGTGCACTGCATGTGGTTGTTGACAGCCCGGCGGAGACGGAACGTGTTTTGTCGCAATTGGCTCTCATCATCCGTGCAATGTACAGCAACGCTCCGCTCACAGGAGCTCGCATTGTGAGCTCCATTCTTGCCTCTCCTGAGCTCACGGTGCAGTGGAAGAATGAGCTGAGGGGGATGTCAGACCGTCTGCAGAGCGTGCGTCAGCGCCTGGTGAAGGAGCTGCAGAACTGCGGTTCAATTCGTGACTGGTCGCACATCGAGCGTCAAATCGGCATGATGTCGTACACCGGTTTAACAAAGGAGCAGGTGGAGAAACTAAAGAGGATGCACCACGTGTACATGACCCTGAATGGCCGTGCAGCTATCTCCGGAGTGAACAGCACCAACGTCGCCTACGTGGCAAAGGCCTTTCACGAGGTTTCTAAGTAAGCGCAATGTTATAACATCCCACTTCAATTCGGGCTGCAATGCCAGATAGTGTAACAGGACAATGCTTCTACTAGAGGAAGTTTATCAAAGGTAAGAAGCGTTTTTTTTGGTAATAAGCATAAATTAATGTTAAAGAAGAAGAAGAAAAAGGATAATAATGAGGAGAAAGCGTATTGTAAGCGTTGTGGAGAAAATCTCCTCTTCGTGCTTCCTTCCAAAATTGTGTGGAGAGTGGATCTTGGAATGCACCCCTCTTCTTCCCAAGGGTGATAGTAGAGGACGTAATTAATGTTCAACTAAAATCTGATTGTTGTTTTATTTTGTTTAGCCCCCTTTTTTTTTTTTTGATTGATTGATTGTTTTTCTTTTGATTCCTTTTTATTGGAATTTATATGGAGAGCTTTTTGAACGGTGCACTAAAGAGAAAACATTTGTTCTTGTTTTTTTTTCCGTTTTTTTCCTGCATGTATGTAATTCCCTTCTCATTTTATGCGTAAGAGCGTTTTTTTTTTTCTGCTTGTTTTCCCCCTACTGTGCGCCACTATTAATACTCGTATTCTTTCGGCTGTGTGTCGCGTGACTGCGTTGTTGTTGTCTCTTGCTTCCACTTTGCACCTCTCAGCTCTTCGTCTTACTTGGCTCTTGTTTTTTTTTTTTTCTTGTCTGCGCAATGCGGGCGCGGGCGCTTCGCAAGGTGTAGGGCCCTGCTTGATCAACCGCTCTGGAGACGAGGTGAGTCACTCAGTGGCGTTTTTGGACAAAGGGAACCAATAACTGCTTGCGTCTATAGTCGCACAAACGCTGCTAGAGGCGTACGCGAGACGAGTGGAGCGCCCCGTTAGATCGCGAGAGGTCAGAATCCTGCAACCGCGCGCCGGAAGAAAGAAAAGTACAGAAGACAAGAAGGGGTGTGCGCGGCTCGAGGCGTTACACCGCGTTTAGAAACCTCTCCGCCACTTCCGTTCCGCCTGTGCTTTCTTTACGGAGGACTGTCTGGGTGTGCAGGGGCGGGGCTTTTTTCGTTGCTCGTGTGTCCTTGGGTAGCGGCGGCTAGACATCCCCTTGTGTTTTGTGTCTAGAGGTCTTTTTTAATTAGTGCCTTGTGCATTGCGCCTGCCGTCCTCGGCTGCTGTTGCTGCTGCTCCTGCGATGAATTTTGTGAGCATGCCGCAGCACTATTTTGCTACCAGCGGCTTTGACAGCACGCAGTTTCATGGGGTCAACCCAACACTGCTCGAGGCGTCAGGGATTCGGTACATTGAACGACTCGAGGTGGAGGTGCAGGAGCTGACGCAGCAGTACGAGGCAGCCTGCCAGCTGGTGTATCGCGCTGTGCTTGTGCAGGATGTGGCAGTGCTTACAATCGGTGAGTGCGAGGCCCGACGCCTCCTTGTGGAGGCCGAGTCAGCTGCGTACAGTGATGTATTGCGGTTGTTTTTTTGCGTCACAACCACCCAGCGACAAGTAGAGACGGCTGTTATGTTGCGGGGAAGTGAAAAGGCTGCGGCGCTGCAAAGTGAATCCGCAGTGAAGTTTGGCGAAATGCAGAAGAGTGTTGTGAACTTGCTGCGGGGGGCGCTTAGTGAGGAAAATGAGCGGCTGGCAAAACTGTTAGAGGAAGTGCCGCAGCGGGTCTCTCATGCACTGACCATCAGGGATGCGGCGGATTTATCATTAGGGAAGTCGTCGTTGTTGCTGACGGCAAGTAAGGACTTAGCGCAGGCCGACCCAGCGCGTATTGACTCCACTGCTGTTCTGCAGCGCCTTGAAATTATCATGACGCGACTTGATGAGCTGGTCAAGAGTCTAAGTGAAGCACACACAGCGGGTACAAAGCCTGTGCGGAACGGTGATTCCGTAGGAGGTCAAATTACGTCGCTACAGGATGTAGTGAGGCGCCTAGAGGAATCATCGAGGCGCATAGATGAGGTGCTGCGCTGTCGCAGGGGAGATGCTGAGTTCTCTCAGTCGGACCCTCACAAACCTACGTCGCCTGAAGCAGCAGTAACGCATACGTCCCCAGCAGCGGCCTCATCATCGTCACCGTTGGCTCACAACGCGTTTCAGGACTTTTCAATGCTGCAAAAGTTGGCAGAAAAGTCCGTCTCCACGTTGACGTCTCTATTTTCCGAGTACATGTTAGCGAGCGATCAGATACGGATCCTGGCTGAGCACGAGATGAGTGTTATTCTTCTGGTTCATGACAGGGAGAATATGATACGCTGGAATCGATGGATGGAAGAGAAGTGGTATGAAATCCAACATCTTCAGAACGAAGTAGAAAGGCTAGAAAGACAGGCACATACTATGCATTTTACGGACGCTGCCGGCGTCAGTGCTACCACGCCTGGGACTAGTAGAGAAACGAGGGAGGTCCCTGCAACGCTTGCTCAGCTCTACACGCAGTTCGCCGCCCCGTTTGTTCCACCAAATGTACGCACCGCACGAGCCACGAAGATGCAGAACATTTCCAAACTGCGCAAGGAGGCGATGCGCGTGGGAGCCCGACCAGCTTCAGCTATCTCTGCTAATGATGGTCCTGTTCGCGTTGCTTCAGCTGCGAGGAATATCCCTACCGCTTTGGAAGGGCAAGCACCACTCGCTGTGGCGAGCTCTCCAGTGGGGCAGAAAAGCGGCGGTGATTTGCCATTAGAAAGCACTGTGCGCTACGCGTTGGGGGCATCTTGCAATCCCCCCGTTTTACGGAATGTAACACAGCAGGAAGAAGCGAAGGGGGAGGTGGAAAATAGCATTGCGACTATGCCGGAATTGAATAGCACTGCTTCTATTTCGCTACCCAAGGCCCTCACCGCCAGCTTTCGTGTGACACCGGAGGGGACCGCTGCGAGGACTGATGGTGGTGTTGCCGGCAGTGTCACCAACCTCTCGGCGGTGACGGGCGAGCCCAAAGGGAGAGGGGCTCTCGGCCTTGCCATCCGTCAGCTGCAGCGGAGCGATTCAACGTACAGCTACACCACCTCCGCGAGTGCCGACAGCATCATTAGCTCCACGCATACGGGTGGTCATGCAGTCCATGATGACGCCAGTAGAGCACCGGAGCAGGCCGTGGTAGAGAATTCATCTGATGAGAGTTTCGACAGTTCACCTAAGGCGCGGCAAAGTGACTTGGTGGTGTCCTCCGACAGGATGAATCAAGAGAAACACACAAAAAAGAGCGATCTTGCTGGTTTCGCCCCCCCTGCCGCGTTGGAGACGAAAGGAAAGGGGGTGGTGACTGCGTTGCAGCACCGCAGGACTCGAGGTGTGCAGTCGGATTCCTCCTCCAGTTCCATCACGTTGACGCTTGACACCTCCCGAGGCAGTGAATACAAGCGGCAGGGAGCAGCAGCGGAAACGAAGGCGACGCCGCTCAATAAACGCCGCTCGTTTGACTGGGATGACACTCCTCCGAAAGCTGCCATCAATAAAGAAGGGGAAGTGGAGAGAGGTAAATCTGGTGGCCCGGCCACAACACTTCTCTGTGGCCTGAAGTCACTGTCCTTTGCCTCTCATCGATGATGTCAATCTCATTATGTTGTGTCCTGTATCTCTATTTGGACTCTCTCTCTCTCTCTCTCTCCTTTTGTTATTGTGTGGGGTTGTTGTTTATTATTATTATTATTATGTGTCCCCTCTTGTTGTGTTTTCCATGGTTTTTCGCTCACTATACTCTGCCCGTTATTATGGGTTGTTTTTGTGCTTTTGTTTCTGCTCATGTCTCTGCGATGGCTCGCTTGCGCTGACAACACCTTCTGCATCGCCTTGTTGCTCTGCTACGCCTTATATTGCAGAGAACCTCCCCCAGACGTATTTGTATATGTGTGATGTATGTGGGTGTTTGGTTTCCGCAATGCACTCGGGCTTACGCCCAGTCGCTTCTTCTTTTTCCCTTTTCCCCCCTTTTTCTCCGCTTCACTTCTCTCACACACGGTGTATGCACACATATGTGACGCAGGAGACTTTTTCTCCCCGTATTCCTTTTCTTGGGAATTAAGTGATATTGAAAAGGTGTCACCCGGATGTCGTTCAACGTCTGTACCGTCACCTGCTGTATCACGCTTTTCTCATGCTTTCTGCTGGCCGCGTTTGAGTCTTGGCTGCGCTGTGATGACGTCTTTGGGCTCAACGGGCACGAACATCTTGGTGTATTGCGCAATGGCGATGTCGAGGTCATTCAGGCCGTGGCTAACGGGGGTCTCTTTTTCCAACGCGACTCGTCCCAAATGCATGGGGACGGTAACACGTCAACTGATGCCTGCAACGCGCCTTTGGCCACGGATGCAGATAAAAACAACGTCATGGCGGTGATCATAATGGGCGCCCCTTCACTACCAGAAGGCGTTATCGGCAGCACCGCCAAGGCGCGGCTTCTGCACGGTGTTCGCACTGCACTGTTGGCGGGAGCACTGTGGATTATTACTTCAGGAGGCATCAGGGAGCGGGAAAGCGCTGAGCAATTTTTGTGGGAGATGCAATGCCCATCGGAGTCACTTTTTCCGGACGCCATGCTGTCAGAGCTGCCGCCCAAACTGAGGAACCTTGCAGGGCATATGCGGGACTCGATGTCGTTTGACACCTCGCTTAAGAGCTGGATTCGGCGGGGACGGGTATTGAAGCGTCAGCCCAATCCCTTGTTAGGTGATAAGGCGAAGGAAGAGGACATGTCATTCCCGCGTCTGCTGCGCTACGGAGCTGCCGAGTGGATTCTTCCCGGTTTTCTCTGGGCCGACGCTGACGACACGGGTGGGTCTGAAGAAACGACAGGCGCAGAGCAGGCGGTGATGCTCCTGCAGCGGCGGCTACTTGAGATGCATGCCGATTTTTTGAACGAAAGCAGGCAGAAACGGCCGACGGAAAGAGCTTTGTGGCCGTGCGACGGCTGCTTTAATGTGATTGTCGTGAGTAGCATGCACAATGAGCGGTACGCCAGGGCGCTGGTGCACAAGGCTATGCGTCGTGACTGGGGGTTATGGTCCTCGTCGCGGGGTGCCTCGCAGTGGCCGTCATCGCAAGCAAAGGAGCAGGAGCAATGGGCGTCTGCCGAGTGTGTCCACGTGCTTGTGACGTCCGCCGACGACGCTGAGCCGACATGGGCTGTGCCGTCGCCACTGTTTGTCCGCGGGCCGATTCAGTCAATGACGAATTTCTCCCCGACGTCCAGTCTCCTGGCGCGTTTTCTGGGCGTCTACGCGCACGCAATCCACGCGAACTACCGGCGCTGGTTTGCGTGCATGCAGGTTAGCTTGCTGTCGCACCGCACCTTCAGTCTCATTAACGAGGTGTGCAGGGTTATTCTGGCACACTTGACCGAGACCATCTCGGTGCGGGACCTCGCATACTCCGCCTTCGACAAGCCGCCGGGAAGGTGAAGAAAGGGGGGAGGGGGAATGGGAGCATAGAAGATAGAAAAGGGGAAGAAAAAAAAACGGATATACAACGCTGAGCGAAAACCTCTCTTTTGTTTTCCGTTGTCTCTAAAAGAAAAGACATGTCTTCTACCCTCACCCTCTGAATAAGTCTGTGTGAAAGGAGAAGGGCCTGTCGTCTAGCGCTGAGGCGTGGCTTTGGCGCAGCGAGAACGTGCCTGAAGGATGCTCTCTGTTGAAGGGGAGGAGAGACAGCACAAAACCGAGAGCGACCAACAGCAACAACAGAAGAAAAAAAAAAGAAAATAACAGACGACATGTGTGTCAACCTCCTGCAGCTTGGGGCTGTGTTGCTTGGTTGTGGCGGTCGAAGGGGCGGAGCAGGTTGGAAAGGGGTGAGAGAGTGTAAACAGGTGAAGGCAGGTCATTCAAAAGAGATATTTGCCACTCTGGCAAATAAGCTTTTGTGTCCCCCTCCCCATCCCACCTTTTTTTTTGTTTGTTGATGTTTTGCTGCGGAATCTACGCTTTGCCTTTTCCTGTTTTCATTTCTTTTTTTTTTTTTTTGTCGTGCATACATTACATGCGTAGGTGCATGTTCATATATTCACATTGCGACAGAATGCAGGTAGCTGAAGCTCTTAGGCAAAAAGGTAACGCATGCTTCAGCAGCGGCGATGTTGATGCGGCGGCAGCCGCCTACCAGGAAGCCATTGATCTCCTTTCCTCAAAGCAGAAGTCAGATGGGAAAGCGGAGGCGAAGGGCACCACTCCTCTTACCATGGATGGTGCAGAGGGATTGCTTGCAGTTTTGTATTCGAATTTAAGTAACGTCCATCACATTAAGGGAAAATATGATGAGTGCTTGGAAGCCGCCCGGCAGGCGACACTGCATGATCCTTCCTTCACAAAGGCGTGGCTCCGGTATATACAAGGTCTTCGGATGGCCGGCTATCCATTTGAGGCTTTTGTGACGCTGTTGCATCGTCTTCGGCCTTTGCTTCGGTGCCGTGCCTCCTCTATGACACTGAAGCATACTGAGGACGACGTTGCTGTAGTGGGGGCACCACTCTACGAGGATTTGGGCCTATCGAAGGTGTTGCCCCACATTGAGCTAGATGAGTACGAGGGCGGTTTGGGCATCGTTGCCCGCAAGGCGGTGGAACCAAATGAGGTTATTCTTGTAGAAAAACGTTTCGAACCTTTCTTTGCGAAGCTGGATATTGGGGCGCAGAGTAATTTGACGACGATGCGGATTGTGGCCTACTTTGCAATGAAGATGCATCCACATCAGCAGTCAAATTCCGAGACGTGGGTTCGCTTGAAGAAGCAGTTCAAGGGGTGTTGGCCACGCTCTCTAGAGGACATGCTGCCTGACGATCGGAGTGAACTATCCCATGCCCTGCGGGGTGAGTTACCCGCGATGGACGACGATGCCTTCGAGTCACTTTTTGCTTTGGCTGTTATGTGCCGATACAATTGTTTTTACTCTGGTTTTTTCAGGGCCTGCGCACTGGCAAATCACAGCTGTCTCGCGAATGCTGCCATGAAATATAATTCAGAGGATGAGACGGTAACACTCATTGCGGTACGTCCCATAAGTGCGGGGGAATTTGTGAATGTCAAGTATCTGAGTGATGCCCACTTCTTAATGGGGGTAGGAAAGCGAAGAGAGTGCCTTCGCTCGTGGTTGTTTTGGTGTAAATGCGACCGCTGCTCCACAGATAATGAGAGCTTCGCCACACAGGAGCAAATTCAATGCCGTCAGTGCCACGGCTGGACACATCTTCCACTGACAACAGACCGCACAGTGACGAGGGATCGAGACCCACTTCTTCCACAAGAGAAACCATGCATACATTGTGGAACGATCGTTGCATGGTCATTGGAGTCAAGGGCGATTGTGTCACAGCTGATGGTTTCCTTTGCCACAGTCACCAAACAGACGACATACGATAGTCTCATGGCGTGGCTTTTGGAGGGGGCACAGCAAATTGCTCTCATCCGCGTACATCCGGATAACTGGTTGTATCGTGTCCTTCTTTACTTTTTTTGTGTCTCGATAACGTCTATTGTGAATGAAGCCTTTGAGCAGTTTAGCGCAACAGGATGGCATTCGTCGCTTGTAGAAGTGTTAATGCGTGACGCCGGTTTTAGACGCCTCTACGCGGACGTTCTCAACGGCAACACACAAGCAGGCGATGCTTCTAAGCAGGCAGACGCGTCTGCTTCTGGGAGTGTTGGGTGTGGTGGCAACGCCGTTACGACCGGTGTGGCGGAACCTGCGGCGGAAGCGATGGGGGGTGGTGACGTCTTGTACGCACTCTGCGTTCTCTGGCGCCTGATCTCCCCCTTCTACCCGGCGTATGAGGGATGGAGTCTTCATCGCAGTATTTGCCGTCTTGTACTGTTTTCCCACACCAATCCAAATGGATCCGCCGCGCTGCACGAATCGCACGCATTGGTACTTCTACGACGCCACGGGAGGTACCTTGACGACGCGGAGACCTCGATGTGGCTGCACGCCTACAATCGTTTTAAGCCAACGGCACCTCGGAAAGGAATGCTGAGTGTCAAGCGAGCCAAAGCTGCCTTTCAGTCGTAAGGGCATAAGATCAGTTAATAACGTGTGAAGCATGTGTTTTATGAGTTGTGAGGAAGAGACCCCACCCCCACCCCCACCCCGAGTGAGTATGTTGTTGTGTCGTGTGTGTGTGTGTGTGCTTGTGTGCTTGTGTGCTTGTTTGTTTTCTCTGCTGCCGCGGGATGCACGTGTGAAAACCCGGAGTTGGTGGGGAGCGAAAAGACGGTGGGTGGGGTTTTTACGTCCTTCCCTTTGTGTGTTGTTGTTGTTGTTGTTTGTTTGTTTGTTTGTTTTTTGTGTGTTTGCTCTTGTTTGGGTTCTTCCCGCACAACTATTTTCTTGCCGCGCCTTCCTTCCGTGGCTTCTCTCGCTGCACCCCGGCGAGGATGTCGCATTGCTGCGCACGCTAGGTAGCCAAAAGGGGCGTGGTGCTTGGAAAAGCTGTGTGGCCGAAACTGGAAGGGTGGGAAAAAAAGGAAAAAAGGACGGAGGAGGAGGAGGTACACGCGGTCCCTCGTCGTTGACTTTCATTTATTGGTTCAACAGACGCGTCGGTGCGTGCGCCAGCAATGATTGTTGCAGATTTTGGGTCGTCGCTGGTCAAAGCCGGGACCGTCTCGGAGTCGCTGCCGTCGCTTATATTTCCGACCGTCGTCGGGACTCCGACGAGAAAGTACGGTCTGCTGCGGCGCAACAAGGTGGCGCCGGAGGAGGCACCATTGGCGCCATTTGTGGTGGGCGCGGAGGCCATTCACGAGATGCACCGGGCAACGCTGCACCACCCCATTCAGCACGGCATCGTGAAGGACTGGCCTAAGATGGAGCAGATCATTCACTACACCTTCTCTGAGTTTGGTTTGGACCCGGAGGAAACGTCGCTTGTCTGCACAGAGCCGCTGTTCACCCCCAAACAGAACTCCGAGCAGATGGCTGAGTTATTGTTTGAGGCCTTTGGTGTACCCTCCCTTGCGCTCATCCCCTCTGGCATGTGTGCTCTGTACTCCAGCGGGCGCACGACAGGCGTCGTTTTAGACTCGGGTGATGGGGTGACGCAGGTGACACCTGTGTACGATTCGTACATCATACGTGACGCGGCAAGTCGCTTTAATCATGGCGGTCACGAGGTCACGGAGCACCTTCGCACCCTTCTCTTCGAGCGTGGATTGAACTTTGTGTCGCCGCAGGACTGGCTATCGGTGAAGAGCATCAAGGAAACCGTTTGCTACGTCTCCTCCACGTATGAAAAGGAGCTTCAAGAGGAGGGGGAGGAGCTACGCTTATTTTCCCTGCCAGACGGTCAAACTATTCATGTCGGAAAAGAGGCCTTTCGGGCGCCCGAAATTCTCTTCTCTCCATGCATCACATTGTCGGAGCTTCCCTCTATGTCCGAATTTGTTGTGACTGCCGTCAAGCGCTGCGGCATTGACATGCGCAAGGACTTGCTTTCCAGCATCATTCTCAGTGGCGGGAACACCATGTTCAAGGGGTTTGCCTCAAGGCTCTCAGGCGAGGCATTGAAGGAGTTTCCCGGTCTTTTTGGCGGCGCGAAGGTAATCGGTGCCTTGGACCGACAGTACAGTGTGTGGTCAGGTGCCAGCGTCTTGGCGGGGCTTGCAACCTTCTCAGACCATCTCTTAACGCGGGACACCTTCGACGAGCACGGGCCCAGCATAGTTCACAACTACAGCCGTAGCGTAGCATTGGGCGAGGAGGGTGGCGATGATGGAGACGCCTCTGAAGGAGCGCAGTAAACACAAAGAAGACGAAGAAGAACACACACAAAAATGAAACGAAAAAAAAAAACATAACGGGAGGAGGGGTTGGACGTTTCAAAACGTATTTCATATGTGACTAGTTATAACGATAGCTGTTGACGATAAATCTGTGCGAGGTTCTTACCGCTTACTATTATTATCGAATTCACACCATATATATTTATATATATTATTTTCTTCTTTTTTTCTGCCCCACATTTCATTGTTGTCTGTTGTCCTGCTTTGAGCTCGCTTTCTTTGTGGTGGCTATCATCATTTATTATTTATTTATTATTTGTTGGTGTGCAGTCGTTGCCTAAATGAGAGGGAGTGCGTGGGAGGATCAAGTGGTCCTCATCTCACTCACTCACTCCTTGTCGTCTCTTTTTTTGTTTTTGTTTTTTCTTCATCTCTGTGTGTATGTGCGTGTCTGTTGATAAATGTAAAAGTATGTTTGTTGATGACAGTTGCGAGAGATGTGTGAGCTTTGTCTTGTTGCTTCTTCTGATGTGTGAGAATGTGTGGTGAGTATCTTTCATTTTTTACCTCTTGTATTTTATTTTATGGTCGCTTCAAAGATTTTATGGGTACTTGTATTCGGTGGAAGGTTCACCACTCGCTATGACTGAGCTTGTGGTGTTCGAGAATCATGACGTGTACTTGGAGCACGCGACACGAGTCAAGGTCCCGTGTGAAATAGACACAATAGAACACTTTTTAAGAATTGTCTCGGCACATATAGCGGCTTTCTCTGGGGACGCAACCGCGGCTGGTCGCTACCGCTTTGTCTACTCGCTGAAGGGAAAGCCCCTGTGGCATGTGGCAGACTGCCTTGCGGCCGCTGAGGTGGTTGTGAGCTGCACGCCAGGTTTCCTCCAACGGAAGCGCAGCACCGACCTACCTGTAGAACAGAGTGGGAAGCCGCGTTGCTTCGCGGAAGTGTCGGCGCCCACTTCTCCGTTTGATGTTTTGGTGTCTTCTAGGACTGCCGCCTTCTCGTCTTCTGTGGCGTCCTCTGTCAATGTGGTTCTCACACATGAGGTGAGCCCCAACAGAAACGGCATCTCCAAGCGCATAGCGAAAGTGGGCGCCGGGGTGCGGAGCGGAAGAGACATCGAGTTGGACTCCACCGTCTTCATTGTTTCTGGGAGGCGTGTGGTACTGCCGCCGCTTCCTCGCTTTGTTGATCCGGCATTAGGCGCCGCAATGGAGTTGCGGCACACTGAAAGGGTTGCCGCAGTGCGTGTGCTGCTTTCGTTGAAGCTTCTTGGTCGTCCTTTCCCGGAGGGCGAGCTGCTCTTTTGCGAGGAGCTGCAGTCGCGTCTTGAACCCGTTGTTGAAAGAGCCACCTCAAGAGCTGAGGAGGTCGCGGCTTGCGTGGTCGTAGAGGGTCCGCCAAAGAGTGGGGTGTCGACAACGCTGGCGTATTGTTGCCAAATGGTGGTCTCTGAGCCGAGTGGCCGCCTGTTTGGTTGCCTCTTTTTGCCTCTCAACTTTGAGATCCTCTTTGACAGCGCATGGCTGCAGGACTCGCGTGAAGGGAATTCGGGTGACAAAGAACCACCTGTGAACACGAATCACCAGCACGCACTATTACTGGATGTCTCATTTTTCTACCTGACGCTGGTGCGAGTCGTGGTGGATGCTGCGGTGGCTCAGCGACCGTCTTTGCGTGACTACAGTCAAGTTCTTGTGGAGGCATGGGAACAGCTTGTGACACGGGACGATTTAGATGCCCCTGAGTTTGGTGACCCGCAGTTGACGCAAGTGGTGGGTCATCGGGCTGTGTATGAGTGGGAGGCGTTTGCAGCAGCCGCTGTGCAGGTCCTGCACGCATTGAAAGCTTCGCCGCAGGATATGCAGCTGCGAGATGCCTTTATTGAAATTGTTTTGGTACGGTTTGTTTCACACGTGGCGTCCGCACTCCGTTTCTCAGGCGTGGTGTATATTATTGACGGTCTTCGCCTTCTTGCGGGTGTTCTGCAGCATCGTGTTCGGCGAACGTTGGGGGACGCAGGGGTGTTTCTCCGATGTCTCACGCAACATAGTTGGGCACATGTTTTTGCTGGCGTGGACACTCTCGCATTTCCGCCGTCGACTATGCTTTTTTCTGCACCTTCTCAATGTGTGCGGCTTCTTCACTTGCTTTCACCGGAATTGCTTACCAAGCGTTACGGCTACCCTGTGGTTATATACTGCTGCGGTGAACGGTTCTCGCTGCAGATATTCATGGGTGCCCCTGGCTATCTTCGAATCCTACACACTTTGCTGGACGCGCACACCTGGACGACGACGGAGCAACGAGAAGGGATGAGCTACGCACTACGGGTGGATGATGACGATGTCCTCTACTCCCTTCAAAGCCTCTCAAAGCTGATTCAACTAGAAGCCGGGCTCAGACTAGACTGATGTTGTGGACATCGGTCATTGTTCTTTTTACCTATTTCTTTCTTCTTTTTTTTCTATATCTCTCTCTATATATATATATCTCTTTCGCATTGTCCCATCCATTCAATCCCTCTCCATGCACGCGTCTTACGCGTTTCTCCCCTTGCGTTTTGCTGTGTGGATGGACGAGTGTGTGTTACCGTTTGTAACATCTGATATTCCTGTCTTTACTCTCCTCTTTATTTTTCTCATTTTTGATTCTCTATGTGAAGATTGTCGTTGTTGTTGTTGCACGGAGTGAAAGTGGTTTTTCAGTATCCACATTCCGCGGCGCAGCAAAACAAAAGGAAAGAGCTGCCTTCATACACACGTCATTAACGACAAAGGGAAAGAGAGACAGAGAGAGAGAGAAAGAGAAAGAGAGAAGGAGAAAGGCGGGTAGTGAAGGAAAAGTGAGAGGGCGCGCAAAATGCCTAGTTGGTGTCTCATTGAAAGTGACCCGGCCGTGTTTACGGAGCTAATCGACCGCTTCGGTACACGCGGCGTTGCGGTGGAAGAAATGCTGGGGCTCGAGCCCGAGTTTCTGCGCCAGTACACGAACGTGTACGGCCTTATTCTTCTTTTCAAGTGGAATCCAGGGAAGTTTCCAGCGTCGGACGGGGTGGTGGTGCCCGACGCCCCCGTGTACTTCGCCCGGCAAACCGTCAATAACGCCTGCGCCACGCTCGCGCTTGTTAACACACTCCTTAACTACAGTGACCGCATTCACCTCGGGGATACTCTTGTCAATCTCCTGGAGTTTACGCGGGACATGAACGCCTATTTGCGCGGGACGCAAGTCACGGAGAGCGAAGTGCTGCGCGCGGCTCACAACTCGTTTGCCCCAACTGAAATCTTTATGCTGGATGGTCAGATACCCGACGCCAGTGATGTCTACCACTTTGTCTCGTTTGTATATAAAAATGGGTCCATTTGGGAGCTGGACGGTTTGCAGGAGGGGCCCATCCTCGCCGCAGATGCCACGGATGCAAACTACAAGGAGAAACTGGTGGAGGTGGTGCAAAAAAGTGTGATTAACAAGAGTGCCGCAGACACGACGGGCACGGGCCAAGGCATCTCCTTTTCTCTCATGGCTGTGGTCGACGACAGGCTGCTACAGTTGGAGAAGGAAATTGAGGCTGCAAAGGCACGTGAGGAGCCAACTGTGTATCTCGAGGAACAACTGGGGCAGCTGCGGCTGCAGCGTGAAAAGGGCCGCGTGGAGAATCAGCGCCGCCGTCACAATTACGTTCCCATGATTGTGGAGCTGCTGAAAGCACTGGCGGAGAAGGGTAAGCTAGAGGGAATTGTGGAGGAGGTGTTGGCGAAGAAGGCGACAGCGACATCCTACGATCGTTCATAGCGCACGCATACACACACACACACACACACACACACGCACGTCAGAGGGAAGGAGGAAAAAAAAAAAGAAGGACGCACGCACAAACATAAACACATGCATGCATGCATGCATATGACACTACCGCCAGAAGGAAGGAAAGAAGAAAAACAAACAAAAAAAACTTTTTTTTCCCGTTATCTCATTTATTGTTGTTTATTGCTGGATTGCTTTGGGAGGCCACTTTATCATATTCCTCTTCCTGCACCAAATTCTGCTGCGAGAGGTGCGGCTCGCTTTTCTCGCATGTGCTGCTTCTGCAGGTTGCTTTTTAGCGGGTTCGCCCTACTGAAAAGGGGGTTAGTTTCTCTTCCTTTCCCGCCTTGTTTTT